ACAAAGTAAGCTTGTCCTTTGTGAGTGATTGCAGGGCTGAACCCTCACTTGCAAAATGCATGGCCAAGGAAAACTTGCTTGTTTGCATGTGCACAGCTAACTGAAACATTGAGTGAGGGAGTTTTCCAGAGCACAAGTTGATATCACTGTTGGTAAACTCAAAGAAGGGACTCTTGGTATGGAGAAAGGAAAGCTGCTGTTGAACTCAGCTTGAATTTCCATGGTTTTAAGCAGCTGGTAAATCTTCACATCTGGACTCCATCCACATAGGTTAATTCTCTGTGACAAGAAGTTGCAGAAGAACTTTTGGAATTAAGCCTTACTGAAGAACACACTGCAAAATACTGGCCTTTCTCTGCTAAATAGCGAAGTCTGATGTTGCCCCTATAATCAGACTGAGGAGTCCCAGAGAGAGAAAAGAAACTCTCAAAACAATAAAGCACATCTCCCAGAAGAGCAGCGGGATCTGGGAAGGGAAAGCAGCTGCAAAGCAGGACTAGAGCGGGATGTAGAGTTAAGAGAAGGCAGTGCAGCAGCGCTGGGAGATAAAGCAATGCAGAGGAGACTTCAGCCAGGTGACAGAAAGGAGGCACAACAGGCGCTGGGAATCTAGGATCCAAACTGCTCTCACTCAGACACGTTCTAAAGCTTTTTTTTCTTTTTACTATTCAGGGGGGCCCAGTTGCAGTCCAGTGTCTCCAAGCTGCAGCTGCTCTGGCCGTGGGTACTGATGCATCTCCTCTCTATCTTGCTCTTCTTCCATGCTGCACACTCAGCTTCCAACAGCAAGTGAGTATGCAGGGGAGGATCCTTCTGCCTATTTTGGGAACTCTTACCTATGGTTTTTAGTCTCAGAGGTGGGAGGACGTAGAAGGTAGAATAAGGAAAAAGAAACTGGGAAACTGCTGCCTATGCGATGGGAAAACAGCACACAGTGACAGTGGCTTTAGGGATCTGTGAGCCATTACTGAAAGTACAAAAACATAGGGTTACAAACCTGTCCACCCTGTAGCTACATTTCTGTCCTACTCCTGATCTGCTATTCTTATGCCCTCAGGTGTGCTTTCATTGCTACAGGGCAAGGAACATCCATGGCACATAAAATCCTCCCTGTCCCCTCATACACACCTTTGTAAAGGATTGGAGCAGCAGAGCTGTGATCTGTCCTGAGGTGAGAGGAATGAGCAAAAATGGTGAGAGAGCTCCTGTGGAAGTGGGGATAAAACAGGCAGAAAGACAAGCGTAGTGCACTGCAGTGCGATTTACTGAGTGTAATTTAGTGTTCATTATTTAAGATAATTCATGATTTTCCCTATCAATGCCTAATTATATCTGTCATTATAAAAACAGTTAATAACTCCCACGTTTGCATAAAACCAGATCTGCTTCATTATAATGAAAAATCTCTGGTATTTCCTTTTTACTACTATCGTCTACCCTTTCCAGCATGAATCCTCCATGGAGTTATGCATCTCACAGCATTCTTCCCTTCCCATCCCATCCAGCCCAGGGCATAATGCCATTCACTAACTGTATGTGATTGCCACCGTACTATTGTGATGTGTTATAAATAGCACAGTTTCAGTATAGTTCATTCTGAAAAAGTATCTGTAGAGATGACCTGTGGAATACCAACTATGCATTTCTTGTTTTTCCCTTTCACAGCATGCAGTGGATCATGATTCCCTTAATTGGTGCAGTTTATTAATTACAAAGGAGCATAGAAGCTGAGTGGTAAGCAGAGGATTTCTACAATGAAGTAGATAATTAAAAAGGATTAATGAGGTGGATTAAATAAAGGGATTGAGGCCAAATGGAGCACAAATTTTTGAAACATTAGTGGCCCCAAACTCCTAGCATCCAAGGGCACGTTCCTTTTTTCCAGTTTGATGTTTGCTTTTACCCAGAAGCGTCAGTCCTTCTTTCAAACCGGGTTTATCAGCACATTCCCAGGAGAGCTGAGCAGATTTTGTCCCTCCTCCCATGGCCCAAAGTGCTCCTTCTGTCCAGTACAAGTTCCCATCTGGTTTGCTTTCAGCTCAGTGCTGCACCTGTTTCTACTACCACATTAAAGACAAAACTCAAAGGATGTAATGGATGACACTAATCCTGTGCTTCCTCAATCTGCTGAAGTGGTTCTTAATAATCTCTTTCTCTTTAAGAAAGATGGAGGAAAAGGACTTTGCTGGGATTCTGAAACAACAGAAGCCTGCCTAATCCACCCCTAAAGCTTCTTGGCTAACAGCATTCCTTCCTGCGGAAAGGCTTCTCTATGGGCAAGTTTGGAGTACAACAAAGCGTAGAAGGACTGATGCAATTGCCCCCAGATTCTGCTGTCAACAGCTGGGTTTTCCTTCTCCCTCCTGCTCCCAAGCCAGGAGTGATTCCACTTCAGACTGGGGGTGCTCAGCAGGCGGTGGAGGAAGCTGCAGAAATGGAGAGGAATCCACCAAGGTGGGAGGTGGGAGGGTGCTGGTACAGTGCTGTGGGAGCGGCAGGTAAACACTTGCGATATTTAAATCAAGTTCCCTTCTGAAGGGAGCTCATTAAACATCTGATATCTCTTGATCCTTACTCCCAATCCATTACCGGATCATTTTTGCATAGTTATTTTGCAAATGGTAGAGGGAGACATGCATATTTCTGCCACGTGACCCCCATCTGTCTGCCTTATGGATTTCTCAGTTGCAGTAGCGCTATCTGGCCAAGCACTTACTTGGCTGGAATAGTGAAGCAATTAGTATCTAGGTAGTTATTTGTGTCGGTTTCCTTTTTTTGGTGTGAGTCATGAAGCAGAAATCACAGGATATCATCACTGTAATATCACTGCCCATTCTGAGCAGCGGGGAGCTCATCTGTGGAGCACACAGGATTCCCCGCACGTGATTTCTGGTTATTTCCCCATGCCAGTTACTAGTGGAAGCAGCACTTAAGAGCTGGGCCCACGCCGCTTGATCCGCTGCCCCTCCCAGCAGCAATATTGCCCCATTTATAATCGCTCAGTGTAGGCAGCAGGTAGCACACCACGGGGAGAACCCGCCCCTTGAGCAATGCCGCCCGGGCCGGCTGAACGCCACCAGCCGCCACAGCCCCGCCTGACCCCGCGCTGCCGGCGGGCAGCTCTGAGCTGCGGCCCCGCGCGGCCCCTGCTGGAGCCCGGGCGCTGCTCTGAGCCTTGGAGCGGCTCCTGTCCCCGAGCACTGCCGCTGTGCACCGCACGCGGGAGAGCTGCAGGTAATTCTGCCTGCAGAATTCTATTTCTGTCTGCGTTTCTATTCAAACACACTGACGAGGATTTTCAATTTTTTTTTGAATGAGATGTTTCTCCTTTTCTTGAGCTTCGAAGTGATCGATGCCCCCCAGCAGCTCAGGCTGCCCGGGGCCCCATCCAGCCTGGCCTTGAGCACCACCAGGGATGGGGCACCCACAGCTCTGCGGGCAGCAGTGCCAGCGCCTCACTGCCCTCTGAGTAAGGAATTTCCTCCTATTATCTAATCTAATCTAAACATATCATACTGGTTTTTATCTGCACTGCCAAATGTAGTTATTAGCGTAGGCTGCTCTCTACTGTGGCTCACGTGACTGTAGGCGTTAGGAGTTGGTGGATTTAAAACTTTCATTCATTTCTGTGCCTTTTCCTTAAGCATTACCACAACGCCAGCATCTTTTGCATTATGATGAGAACCCATAGGAACAAGGGAACACAGGTGTCATATAAAATGTAAGGTGACTTCTGGTCACAATATCCACTTAGCAGTGTTCAATAATAAAGTTGCCATGGTGTTGTGGTATCACGACCAAGAATAGAGGATCTGCTCTGCCATCCTGTTTGTGCCACACGCAGAGAGCAGGTTGGTTGTGGGTAGGTGAGCTGTTCCCTGCTGCTCTCTCTGAAGCTCTTGTGGGAAAACGCCCAGCGATTGGAAAAGACCCTGCAAGATCAGCCTTTGTCTCTCCTCCCAGGGACTCGGGCAGTGCAGACCTCTATTTTTTATGTTAATAGAGACCCCTTCCATCGTGTGTGACCGTGTGTCCTTCACAGCAGCTGTAAAGATTGGTGGTGCCTCCCAAAAATGCAGCAGTGTGCCCAGGAATAGCTGCCTAGGGACAGGAAGGTGTCAGGTGGGTGCTGGCTGTGACTGACTGCCTCTCAGGCTGGTTGCTAAGCAGGTTGGGGTTGCCTAGCGACTTCATTTGGGTTTTTCCCTGCTAACGTGAAAGCAGGAGCCCCAGATGGGACACAGACAGCACTTAGACCAAAGAGCTGCAAGCAGAGTGGGACGCAGCCATGTCCGTGCAGCCTGGACTGCTCCTGGCTCTCCACTGAGGAGGTGGCATGAGGACAGGCCCAGCTCACGGCCTTCACCCGAGATGCTCTTCCCCTTGTTGGCACAGTGAGGGCCGAGGAGCCATGGGTTCCCTGCTCTGGGGTGCTGCTGTGGGTGCAGCAGGTGAAGGACGCAGCTGGGCCCTGCCGCCCTGTGAGGGGCTCAGGTTCCAACACAGCTCTTGCAACGCTTCTGCTGTTTGTAGAATACCCACGCCGGGCCTGCCGGGGTGCCCTGCGCCAGGTGTGATGAGGTGCTGCTCACCGGCATCTCCGGGTAACCGCACCGCGCCACTGCATCGACTGATGGAGAACAGAGCGGGCTTTTAGACAGGTCCGATGCCGGCGCCGTGTGACGGCCGCTGTACCTCTAGGAAGGTGGCATCTGCCACAGGCCCGCCCTGGCGGAGACTGAAGCCAGACCAGCTTTGGTCCCCCGCAGGACGGGAAGAAATTTGTTTTTCCAGAGTTTAACACGCTCGGACCAGGCCCGTGCCCCAGTGTGCAGCAAGGTCCCGCCTCGGCACGCGGCCGCGGGGCCGACAGCGGCACGGCGACTCAGCGCTCCGCGGACAGGGGCGACGGACGGGGCGCGGCGCGAACCCCGCGGGCACGCGCACGGCGGGCGGGGGGCGGCGCGGGGGCGCGCACGCCCGGCGCCCGGCGCAGGCCGCCCCGTCGGCGTCTCGGCGCTCGGCTGCCCGCCCTGAGCGGGCGGAGTCCTTCCGCTGCCATCCGCGGTTCGGCGCTCGCTTCCTCGCCGCCGGGGCTGAGCGAAGGGAGAGGCAAGATGGCGGACAAGGCGCCCGGCGGCTCGCAGAAAGGCAGTGGGAAGGTGAGGCCGTTCCGCGGGGCGGCCCGAGGCCCGGCAGCCCGCTCCATCGCCGGGGGGGTAACGGCCGCGGCCTGCCGGCGGGGCGGCGGGGACCGGGAGCGGCGGGGCGGCCGGGCGCGGGCGGCGCGGCCTGCCGAGTCCCTGCGTCCCTGCCCCGGCCCCGCTCCTGCGCGGCGGGACCGCGGGCCCGGCCGGGGGGAGGCGGGAAGCGGGCGGCGCGGCGCGGTCGGGGCCCGAGCCATCGCGGGGCGTCCGCGCGGCGCCGGGCCGCGGGCTTCTAACGGGCTTCTAACAGGCTTCTAACAGGCTTCTAACGGGCTTTCACGGGCTTTCAGGGGCGAGCGATCCCTGTTCCTCGGCCGCGGGGGGCGGCAGCGCTGCGTTGCGTTGTTCTCCGCGCCTTTCGCCGCGCGCTCCGTGTGCTGTAAGGCTGTGTTGGCTGCGAGGGCCGCGAGCCCCAGCGGCGCTGCCTTGCGCACGGCGTGTCCGCGGCCGCCTCCGCCAGCCCGGAGCCGGGCCTCCCTCGTGCTCCGTCCCGTCTGTGGCGCGGAGCGGTGGGCTGCAGGCAGCCCGCGGGTTGGGGCTGCGGCTGCTGTCTGCTTCCCTCAGCCTGGCAGATCTTAGACCGGAAGGGCAGAACTCCTTTTCCTGACCGTTCTTCTTCTTTTCTTGAATTTGTTTTTCTTTCTTTCTTCCCCCCATAGTGTGCGTGGAAACTGGTCGAGGGAGAATCTGCCTTTTGGCACGGGAATTTCTGGTGCTGTGGAGATAAATGTTCTTTTGCTCATTTTTTTGTTATTCATCTAAAGTAGGATTTCTTAATTATTTTAATTTTTTTTCTTCTTTTTTTGCTTGGAAACCAGCTGAGATTTCATTACCAAGAGTGTTTGCATTAGAGAGGGAGTTTATTTTTGCTTCCCTTTCATGGCCTATTCCAAGCATTGTCAGGAAGCATTTTTTGCATCTTGCCTTTGGCTTGGAACTGTGAGCAGGATCTGGATACAGAACTTCAGCAGCAGAAGAGGTCATAATTTATGTGGAGAGGCTTCCAGGGGGCCAGGGGTTGTGGAATTAGAAGTATCATTAGGCATTGAATTATAGTTTATAGAGTACTGCAGCCAATGGCATGGTGTGCAAAGCAGCTCACGTACAATCCCCTCCTTTTAACAGTTACGCTTTTTAAATTTATTTTATCAGTGTATTATTTCTGTATTGATGCCCATTTTCAAGTTCATAATAATAATTTTAAAAAAAACACTTTCCTCAGTTCTGCAGTGATATGTGTGGACTGTCCTTCATACTAAGTCATCTCACTGAAATCAGTGGCAGACTGTAATGTTGAACAAATACGTGTTAATTTCTCAAGACTTGGAGTTCCCAGGAGTCCCTATACCTTGCCATCTCCCTGCAGTTCCACCTCAATTCACAGTTTCCCATTACTTCAGAGGCAAGTGCTGTGTTCCCAGTGGTCTTTTTCTCATGCTATACATTGTAGACCTTTCATCAATGTAGATTGTATGTAGCAAAGAAAATAATGGTACATGGGATGCTTTTATTACTATTTTGATTGCTTTCTACAAGTAATTGTGCAACATTTTGATTTTTGAAAGAAATTTATTTACTTAAGGAGCAAAATCAGAGTTTTAGGTGCCATTTCCTTTGGTGCATTGTGTGCAAAACATAAGATATGTTTTGTAGACTCCATAGAATGTATTTTACTGGCAATTTTGAGATGTTCCCTTGCTGGCTTCCACCCTGCCTTCTGGAAAGAGCACTGTGATGTGTTTCCTGTGCTCTGAGTCTGGTGACCTGGCAACTGGAGGCTTTAAAACTTGCAGTTCCTCCCATTCACAACATGTGATGTTTGTTCTCTGGTGTTTGTGTCCAAGCACTGATTTGCAGTATATATATATTCACTTTTAGAGACTATCATCAAGTTTATTTCAGTCCAGTGTTGTCTAATTGATTCAGTGTTTGAAAGCTGTCCATTGAGATGGTTGGGGCTAGGAGCATCCATTGCCTGTGTTGCCATGGTTGGTAGCTGCTTTTTATAACCTAAATAAATTTGAGAGTGTCTTATCTGAAATTTGTTGTAAGAGCATCATCTATTCACCTGTCGTGTTAAGGTTAGGATAACAAGGTGTGCCTAAGGTTTCTATAACTAGCAACGGATGACAAAATGAAGGAGGAGGAAATGGAGGTTGCCAAAGACTACATGGGAGCTCTAAAATGTAGTTCTAAAATGGCAGATTCTAATTCTGTTCTGTAACATCGATATAATGAACTATTACCTGCTTGGATGACTCTGCCAGTTTCTTATTACATCTTCTAAGAGCAGTAACTGTATTGCATGTCTGCTGCTCTTGCATGTGATCTGGTACCACTTGGGTACCACATGACAAAGGAGGTTATTATTCACTGGGATCGAGTTACAGGTTTCCCATTTTTCATTAAAAAAAAAAAAAAAGTGTTAAGGACGTTACCTAATCTTAAATGCATTTCTTAGGCTTTTGTTTTTGTTTTAATGTTATGCATCAATAAAACATTGAAGAACCAAGGCTCTTGTGACTGGACAGCCTTCATGGATAATTTGAAGTGTATGAGGGGCAACAATGAAAAATCTGTGCAAGTATGAGTTCCAGTTAGGTGTAGCATACTGCAGGATGGTGGTACCTGTGGTCTTCTGCATTGTTATTCAGTTTGTGAAGAAGAGGAGAGGCGTGAATACATTCCTGTGTTGATGGATATGTAGCTGGAGGTCGCTTTCAATATCCTCTCGAACAGTAGAAAATGGAATATTGGCTGCTCCTCTCTGTTTAAGGTTCAGAAAAACAAGACTGTTCACATACCAAGTGAAGCTAAACTGGAAAGTTTTAGAACTAGCACACACAATTTCTTTTTGCTAAACTAATGTATTGGTCCTTAAGCTAATATATTGATCCCTGTTGCTAAGCCAACCTTTATCAGTTCTAAAGGAAGAGCATCCCTTGCAGTTTTCTGTTGGCTTTTGTGTGCAAGTGATGTCTGTTTAAACAGTGAATAATTCTACTATGTACTCTTGTAGTAAATGTGATGAGTAAGTAGATTAGCTATAAAATTTAATTCATTGGTGTTTGCATGCATTTGTTTCCTAGATTGTTTGATAGAGAAGGGAAGGATAAAAAAAGGCAAGTTGGTTTGGGAAACCTCACTGCCCTTGCTGGGTTAACACCTCTGAATTGGAGATGTGATTCTATTGGCATTCCCTTGGTGGTTGTGCTGACACCAACTGTTCTCAGCCTTAGCAATGCTTTCCTTCCCATACACTGTCCTCTCTAGGTGGTTTGACATTATTTTGGGGGGATGGAATTGGAGGGGCAGCCTGTTATGAATAAGAAATTGGTTTGGCTGACCTTCCCCAGCCATCTCGTTCCCAGGTGATCAGCTAGAGTGGGAGAAGTGATCTAGTTCTGTTGGAGATCACTTGTCTGGTGTGGGAGCAGAATGAAAGGAGGGTGTTGAAGCGGAGCAAGAGTGAGAGGTAACCAGAATTGTGCATAACCACTTTACCCTTGGGCTGTGAGTTTCGCAGGAGCAGGACTTTGATTTATGTTCAAGCTTGCAGCCATTATTGTTCTAAAGATAGCATCCAGAGTCTGATGGCTGTGGGATCGTATGCTGTGTTTTATGGGCAGCTTTTGTTCTTTGATGTTTTACAAAATGGCACCAATATTAGCTTAAACGTTTATGTAGTACAGCATATTTTAAACATTTGTGAAGTAATGTCATCATGCCAGCTTTACCCAAAGGTTGCTAAATCTGGGAATAGTGTGAAGAGCTGGTTTTTGGGCGCGTAGCTTGCTGACAGGAAAGATCTGGAAGAACAGTCATCTCTTTTGTGTTTTCTTTGGAAGCTGCTGTGAAGCTGGAATAAAACTTAAGCGTCGAAATCTGAGATATTGGTCTCAGTCTTGACTTCCTGGTAGGAATTTATGGCAAATTCCACTTATGTGCTCCTTCTACTATATATATTTCTGCCATTTGAAGGTTGATTGAAGTTGGGTAGATTCAGGGGTAGAGCTCTGAGCAACCTGACCTTCAGAACTGCTCTTTCTCGGAATGGCATTGAAGCAGCCTGCGTTGCTGCTTCAGTTATGATGGCAAAAGTCTTCAAGGGACCCGTGCAGAGGAAGAAATGGAGGCTGATCCAACTGGAGAAGAATCTGCTTGTGTTTTACTGTGATGTTTTTGAAGAAAAACAGTTTCACGTGGAGTGTTGGTGGTGGTGACCTGGGAATGAGGACTTGTGTAAGCTCCTTATGCTGGCAGCTATAGAAAGGGAGACCCAGCACAGCCTTTCTGTCAGCATGGTAGGCACAGAGGAGCTGTCCTCATCTCTCAGGTCAGCAGCTGCTGGAGAGGGCTGCAGGGTGGCTCTTCCTGTGATTGAGTTACGCTGCTGAACCTGATTAGAAGAGGAAAAAAGAATCTTCTTGTGGGTGTAAACAAGGGTAGGTAATGCATGAACTGCTTATCTCTGAGAATGTTAGCAGGGCTCGGTTATTCTATTGAATCAACCCAGCTGATGTCACTCCTGGAGGGAGACATTGCCCCTCACATCAAGGCAGTGCAGCTGGAGTGCAGTGCTGCAAGTATTAAATTAGACTTCTTTAATTGCTGTTATTTAGAAACTGACAGATAGCGATGTGTAATTCTGTCAGGAATTACTTCAGTTTTTTGCTTCCATGTGAGTACAGTTGCTTGGATGGTCAAAGGCATGAGCTAAATTTATAGACCTTAAAAAAAAAACAACAAAAAAAAAAACCACTGTCAGGAGGAGAATGTTGTGGCTCTGTGTGTTTTCTGGAGCAAGCTAGAGTTGCTTCTGGAAGCTGTTGGGGTGCTCGTTGGCAGAAGCTCAGCTGGTGCAGAAGTGGTGCTGTGGGGCAGGGCCCTGGGGCAGGCTAGGATCTGCCGTGCCTCTGTGTGAGCACACATGGGAGCCTGCTGGTCACCTGGCCTACATCGGAGGCCTTCCAGAGCTGTCCTGCAGGGCTGCTGGAGAAATGGAGGTAGTGCCTGGGGAATTCTGTGCGTCCTTCCTCAGGATGTCATCTGTTGTGTCTTAAACATCACTGTGTTGGGCCTGGGTGCTGCATGTTATGGCGTAAGCTGCCTTGCTTCTTGTCTTCCGTGGAAGTACCCCAGCACCTGGCCTCATTGGATGCTGTTGCTTTTCGAAACTCCTCTGTGATACAAAGAGAATTGAGAAATGTTACTTTCATTCTTCTGATGCCATAAAACCCAACCAGCCTCCCTCATGCTTTGTTATGCCTTGACTTCTGGTCAAGAAGGCTGAGGGTAGGCACGGTGTGCTAGTTCTGATAGAAGCTGTAAATACCTGGTAACAAATGCTGGTGTTTTGTAACTAATGAATAGACTTTGGCTAAGGAAAATCTTTTATTTTGACTTTAAATTTCTATTTACATATGAGCTCTTCATCGAGCAGTTCTGTCTTAACAGCAGAAGTTCCATTAGGGAGGCTTTCTGGAATTCGGGCATTACATAACTTCAGAACTTGCTCAGTTCTGTTTGCTGGAATTTGTATCACTTAAATGAATCTCAAATCTGATTTTAAAAAGGCCCAACACCACCTCCACATGATTTTATAGACATAACCTAGAATTGATTTTATAAAAAGAGGAGTGAGTTTAAATACAGAACAGTAACAAAAAGAAAGTACATGTCTCGTACACTATATATAGTAGTACAGAACATTTAGTATGTGTGAGATGTGTAGTTTAAAACTTGTTAAGAATCATCCAGCTTGAGTGCTGTCTCTCTGGGCCTTGGCAACTTGTTTATCACTTGTTTTTAGATCACAGATGGAATACTGCATAATTGTCTGAAAAGATAGGGAAGTGTTCAAAGAAAGCTGTAGAGCTGTAGATGAGTGAATTCTTGTTCATAGTTCCAACACTGCATTAAATTTGACAGCTGGGCATGCATGACTACTATGTGTTTTTTCAACTTGAGTCACCATTTAGTTTAGGGTAATAGAGTTAATTGATGAATATTCACAAATTGGACTTAATGATCTTGAGCTGGCTTGCATCTATGTGCACCACACTGAGAGCAGGTTTGGGAATGATTTTATGGTAGTAAGGCATGTGTATTCAAGAACAGTGTAATCTTTAGCAGTCTAATGACAACTTGACAGATTCCTGGTAGTAGACTTCATTTTTTTTTCCTTGAAATGGTGTTAATGGCAAGTTTAAAAATTGAGCTGTGAAAATTTAGGTATTTTTATTGGTAGTCCCTTGTTTGACTTCTGTGGGTGCTATGGCAGTATTCAAACATGTCACTGAAATACTTTGTGCGTGTTGTCCTTCTTGAGTATGTGAACCTTGAACCTGGAGTCACTTGCAGAGAACTGAATCAGAAGGAAGCAGTTTGTTTGCCTGGTTTTCTTTTTCTGTGTCTCACCTCCTCTTCATTCTCTCTCCAGGTCAGAGCTCCAGATGCGGTACATAACACTGGGTCTGCTGATACACATGTAAGGCCAAATGTTTTTTTTAAATGAAAAAGGGCTGCTCTCCAAAGAAAACTGCTTATTGCAGACAAACCCTGTTGCATAATCTGTAGATGTTTGTAAATGAAATATGGATGTTTGTATTAAAAAAAAAAAAAAAAAAAGTTCCTTGAAAGTTTTTAACAGCCAGGAACGTAGGAAGGTCTACTGAAGGATGTTGCATTGTAACAGATGCATATAGTTTCCACTGCTTCTTCATGTTTCTCTTATACTGAAGCATAGTTCAAAATGCTAGCTGGTTAATTATAAGTCAGCGTATGTTAAAGTTGACTTGCTTGTACGAAAGCATTATTCAAGTTATGACAGCAGAAACTTCTAATGAAGGAATAGAATATTTTTCATGACTTGCTTTTCTTGATGCAATTTAGAAAATCATTCCTAAAACTCTTTTGAAAATGTTTTTACTATCTGTGAAACTGGGATTTCAGTACTTCATGCCATCTTATGCAGTGAATCTACTTTCATGCAGTGATTTGGTTACTTAACTTGAAGTTTTTGCTTTGCTTCCATCATTTGCTTTACTCCTCTCATTGTATCATTTCCATTCAGTAAAGGAAGAATGTCTTTAAGTTTTATGCAGTTCTGCTGTTAGTAATTCTGTGAAGCTGCATACGATTAATGCTATGACTGCCTCCTGGAATGTGAATTGCAGGAGTAAATGAATTAAATCCTGTTCATTTGATATTGCTCCTGCCACTTGGAGCACTGTTCTTCCCTGAGACCATTTCTGAAGAGAGGAGATCTTAGTGCTACATCTCTTGTCCTACAGCTGCTTCCATTATGTGACTGAGTGGCTGATCTGTGTGTATCTCTGAGTGAAAGATGACTTGTGGATGGCAGGATAAGCCTTGAGTAGGAGTGCAGTGTTTGTATTTGTCAGCATTGCTGTGCCATAGCAGCGTGCCAAGGTTCTGTATTGCTTGTCATACTGAAATATAAGCTGTCATTTAGACATCAGGAAAACATGATTTTATTAACTTAGAAGACATGTAGATGGGTGAAAACCTGCTGATGAACAAGTCACAGCAGCTCATGTTGACAAACATAGTGTCATAAAGCAGATGACTCCACAGAGAACACTGCATTAATTTGTAACGGGTCATTTCCCCTTTAATTAGGAACTATTTCGTTTTTTAAAAGAAATAAAAAAACCTTTTTGGTCGAATGCTTGGTACAAATCTAAGAAGTTTCTGAGTTACTAAAGGAGGATTATAAACAGAAAGTATCTCTAACAGGTGTTCAGTTTTTTGTTCTTGTATTAGGTAAAGAGATTTCAAATAGCAAGCTCATACTAGAAATGAACATTGTTACACAGGAAATTATTCCTAGAGGCAGTTTTGTTGTTGGCATCTGATTTTTTTATAATAATATAATAGAGAAGTTGTACACCTTATTTGTCTTGATTTTTTATTATATTGAACTGTTTTTTTTTTTAACAATCAGTGTCAGCTATGTCAAAGCATGAAAAAAATCTTCTCAAGACAAAGGCTAATGGATTACCTTCTGTTCTTTTAGGATATTATTCTTGTTCTTATCCTGGTTCTTTATGAGCTACTGTGTTAAACTAGGAATTTCCAGAATACTCTTTTCTTTTTCTCTCCTTTCCTTCCTGTTCCTCGTCTTCTGAACATGGTCATCATGCTGCTGTCTTTGCCCTCTTGGTGCTTTACAAGAAGTACCCATCAAATTGTTTGAGATGTCTTTGAATGATGTATTAGGAGTTTCCTAATTAAAACAATGACCATTCATTTTTCTGAAACACAGATTTAACTTGTTTTATTGTATTAGATAGTGGCAAGTTCAGAGTGAAGTACAGGAAACCTTTTGTTTTCCAAACATATAAACCAGTTGCCACCTGTAATTCACTTAGAAACTTTCTGGTCTTGGCCAAATTGAAGAGCATTATTTTAATTGTTTTGCAAACATTCTATTATTTTTCATACTCCTTTTGCAGCCTTTAATGGAAAGTAAACTTAAAGCATTCAGCATTGGCAAAATGAGCGCTGCCAAACGGACTTTGAGCAAGAAGGAACAAGAAGAATTAAAAAAGAAGGTAATGATATACAAAATTTTATTATGTATGCAGGGCTGGAATTAGTTTGTTAGATTATAAATGGCTTTATCAAGAACTTTATTTTGATTTACAAAACTGTAGCTTTTTAGGAATAAAATTGAATGATATTTTACAAGTTTAATTTGTTCTTGCTGTTTGTGGTGTTTGGAGGCTTGCTTCTCTGCTTGTCTAAGTGAGAAATCAAGTTCTTTGGGATCCTGAAATGCTGAAATACAGTAATCCATTGTTATTGTGCTTTTCAAAGTGCAGACAGATATCACCTTAGGTTGTTTTCTGTTTGCTCTTTAACTTTAGATTTCAGTAGTTAGAGTATCTGTTGTCTCTGAAATTGTTCTAACGCACGTTCCTGTTATTCTCCAAAGTGTATTTTTTTCTGATGAGTTAGTATCTAACTTTAATCGTTTTGATCATTAATAAACTAAATTTTGGGATGCTCAGGAGCATCTGAATGTTGGGAAATATGTAGCATATAGTTGCTGAATGGAAGTTTAGAACTTTTGGACTTTGAACATTACAAACTCAACACATACTGTACTGCAGTGGGATTTTTCTTGCCAGGTTCCTGAAAATGCTAGCATAGAGAAGCATATAATGGTGTTTAATTTAGTTTGTCTCACTCAACTTTATTAAATAGTTGAATTAACTTTTCTGGGCAATGTATAAAGGTGATCCTGATGTTTGTCTCCTTCAGTTAGATGAATTGGTGCTAATGGATAAGCGTCAGGGAGCAGTACATATTCTTAAGTTAACAAAGCTTTAGTCGTCTTATGTTGGCTTTTCATATAATCTTTTCAATTTAACACCTTTCAAATGTTAAATTGCCAGATGAACTCAAACCAGACTTATTTGCTTTGAGTAGTACTTGCTGTGTTCTTCCCACATATCTCAGCAATTTGATTTATTTTGATCTGAAATTGAAGCGCATTTGATAGAGTTCATAGTATGAACTCTAGAAAATAAAAAGGGATGTAATATAGCTAATTTAAGAATAGCTATCCAGTGGGGGTTGTTCTGTGATGGTAGTAATGATTAACATTTGCTTTGTAGGAGGATGAGAAGGCTGCTGCAGAAATTTATGAAGAATTCCTTGCTGCCTTTGAGGGAAGCGATGGCAATAAAGTGAAAACATTTGTAAGAGGAGGAATTGTTAATGCATCTAAAGGTATAACTAATCTTTTTTGGGGTGGTAGTGCTAGATTGTTCATCACAGAGTAAAGATGAAGATTGTTTTTGAATTGCATTTTAAAACGAATACATTGCATTATAAACAGTCATGGAAATTTGATGCTAAAATTTAAACATTTTGTGAGTTAAAGCAAAAAGTAGACGTATGGTTTGTCCTTTTAAGTTTCAGGGAAATTTTCTTTGAAAATAACTGGTCTTTTCTCTTCTTATTAAAAGATGATTTTAAGCTACCAAAAGTGTTCATCCTGGTAAACTGTATTGTGCAGCATTAATATAGTTTGTTTTTTTGTTTGCTTTTGTTTTCAGAGGAACATGAAACAGATGAAAAACGAGGTAAAATCTATAAACCTTCATCACGATTTTCAGATCAAAAAAATCAACCAAGTCAACCATCTAATGAGAAGCCTCCATCCCTCTTAATGATAGAAACCAAAAAGCCTGTAAGTTTCTTATTTGAATGCTAACTCTGTGTTCAAGGAATTATTTTGAAGTGCTTAGAAAAAGTCTGTGTGGTCTTGCAGAGTAGAGTTTTCATTATCACACAGTAAAAGAAGTGGGAACATGTTTGATTTGCTTAATTCCATAGAAAATCACAAGAAGATAAAGTGCAGGTATCTAGTAGACCTGTATCCAGTGCCATGTACTTGGTGCTGCACTTTGTATCCAGCATTGTATGTTTTTACTGTGTTCCTGCTGGTTACAAATACAGATTTGGTGATTGTTTTAAAGTAACAATCTCCAGTCTGGAGGATTTGTGAAGTTTTAGAAGCGATTCTTCTTGTTACGAGCTGTTTTTAGTCTTTTGTAGCTTAAAAAAAAAAAAAGAACAAAAACCAACAACAAAAAAAACCCCACCAAACAAAAAAATCCAAATCCAACAAACGAAAAAACCACCCCAAAAACAAGAAATGAAACCTACACAATCAAACGAGACAACACCTTTGTATTGATCCAAATTCTTCTTGAGTCATTTTTTTAAAAACAATTGTTTGTTTTGGGTGATAATATTAGAGCAGTTCCCTTCAGCTCTTTAAGTTCTACCAAATGAGTAAGTTTTAGAGCTTGAGAGTTTCTGAAACTGAACAGCACGGTTTTTATTTAATTTAGTTTGACCATTGCATGGTTGGGTGTACTTTCTGGTTCTTAAACTCAGATTTTTGTTAAAAAAATTACTGGAATTTTTATGAACAGGCTTAGTTCTCAAGTCAGGTGATAGTTACATATGACTGCTGTGTATGTGTAATGTGTAATTGATGTCTTGGAAGTCTTTAAAAGTGCTTACTACAATTCTTGAACTTACATTAAAACAATGTGATGCTGCCTACTTGGATGGGAAATGAGATAGAATGTGGTAATTGTGAATAATCCCATCCTAGCTTTCCTCCAGCTTTAAGCAAACCTCAAACCTTAAATAATGGGGTGATGCTGGATGGCAGTTCTGATTTTCATCATATGTAAAGTTCTACAGTACCTGGATTTAATTGCTTTTTTAATCACTCTGAGCTGTGTTGTCATATGCAAGTATTTGTACTGTAAGAATATTGCTGCTTTTCAAATTTGTCATAAATACTTAGCAGATAATGCAAGTTTACTCACTTGCCCTGTCCAATGGTGATTGAAGATAATGAGGTAAAAATGATTTTATTTATTTGGCAGACACTCCCCAAAAACAAACAAAAACAAACAACTTTGCCTGGGGTGAGTAGGAAGTCCAGTTTTTCCAAAGCTGTAGTGTGTAACACAAATATTTTGTATGTCTGCCTATTGGAAACGTTTTCATTTAAATTCGGTTATATAAAAGCGATGTTGTAGAAGGATTCACATGAGTTAGTTAAGGTGCATATATTGCAGTTAAAAAAAAAAGTCCATTTTCTTTGTCATTCAATTATTTTTTGAGGATCTTTGACTATTTACAGTAACTCTTCAGACTTGTATTTATATCTGAATGGAAGTAAGGATGGAAATTCTTTTCATGTAGAATGTTTGCCTGTGGACAAAATATTTGAATGTACATATATACACATGTAAATTATTACTGTATATTTCTGTGTATATATGTGTGTGTATGCTTAAAAAAAAAAAAAAAGTACACACATATATCAATTTAATTGGAGCATGAAGGTTTGCTAAGGGAGTTAACAGTTTTGTCATAAGTTTTAAAGTGGACCAAACTGACAAAACACACCACAGGTATTTTAAATTTGTGTATTGTAGAGAAAGTGTTGGATCACGTGTGCTGTACTTAGTAATCAGAAGTAGTAAAGTTTAGTTCAAGCTATCCTTAATTTTACGTTTGATAGCTGTGTTTGGTAGCAGTCATTTTTAATGTTTTCAAGTCTGTTTTCTTTTATTTTCTTCTGTAGTTTACTTGGTTTGAAAGCTGAGGGTAAAAATGCATGGAAATTATCTAAAATTTTTTTACATAAAAACCATTTCCATTTTTTTGTGTCATTGTACCTGCTCAAATGTTGGCTGATATATCTTTAATTTTAGCCTTTGAAGAAAGGAGAGAAGGAAAAGAAAAAGAGCAATCTGGAACTTTTTAAGGAAGAACTAAAGCAGTAAGTTTCCTTGGTTGCTACTGTAAATGAGACACAGAGTACGTCTACTGTGTTTCTGTAGGCAGTATTTTTGATCTTTCTTGTTAAGCTCTTCCCTAAAGTCTCTCTCCACTCTCAGCCTCTCCTGTTAGCATTGGCAGTCATACTTCTAAATGGAGCATGAAGTTTTGCTGGTAGATGGTTGGTACAGGTCCATGTGATTTGTGTGGATAATTCCATCTAATTAGTATTCTGGTCTCCTTGATGCTTCTGCCTTTTTCTGTGCTGATTGATACTAAGAAGAGTTTACCACTACTGCTGAAGAGTATTTCTGTTTTGGAATCACAGACTTTAAAAGTGATCGATGGATAAGCACTGAAGTATGCTGGTCAAAATGAGTGGATTTCCTTCCATGCCAGTGGTGTTTGTCTGACCTTTGAGGTTTTGTACTGCCTTCCTAAGCAGAAAAATATCCAGAGCAGTTAAAGATTTTAAAAAACAAAGAAACAACAAAAAAAAAAAAACCCAAAAACTCACAACATAAGCAAACAATATATATCTGAGATCAGAATAAATGCATTACTGTTATGTTTCTAGAGCTACTTTAAGATAATTTTTGTTTAGTTAATGTGAATGTCAGTTTGAAGAGTTAATCACACAACACCCCTCCCTATTCTTGGGAGAAGGGTTGAGAAGAAAGAGGAAGAAATCTGACTGAGATGAAATAAACTAATTTATTAAGAGGAATGTGAAGTAGTACAGAATAATTAAAAATAATTAAGAAAATGAACCAAAAATTAAATCAGAAGATAGAGAAATACCAAATAGATACTTGTGTGAGGGCTTCCACCAGAGATATAAACAGAGAGAGGGTCTTGTATGTACTGAGAATGTTCAGATGTCACCCTTGACAGCTTATGTGAGTAATGACTGGAAAAAGTAGGAGAAGAAAGATGCTCAGAAGTTGTGTGCATCTTGAAAAGATAATGGATCTTTGTCCAGTGTGGAATTCAGGTCAATCTGTCAGAGCACAGCTTTTATTTCTACTCTTACAGACTGCTTCTCAAACTCTTTTTTTTGAGGTGAAATACCTTGACAGTATGAATGAGGAAGCATGCAGCTGGAATTATTCTGGTGGCTACATTCCACCTGATTCAGCAAAAATGAAAGCATGCTGGCAATTTCAAATTTTTAACAAGTCCATTGTTCAATAAACATTAAACATTCTCCTATTTCAAAAAATGATATTTTAAAATAAAAACATTGAACTATTAAAAGTTGTTACTTACATTCAACTTGTTCTGTAGGATACAAGAAGAGCGTGATGAAAGACATAAAACAAAAGGTAGATTGAGTCGTTTTGAACCTCCCCAGTCGGATTCAGATGGTCAGCGTCGTTCAAGTGAGTCCATGTTGCTTTTATGTTTGTTCGGTCTACAAAATTTCTTGACTAAAATACGTATTTTTTCATTTCTTCAGTGGATGCTCCTTCAAGAAGAAACAGATCATCTGGTGGTAATATAGATTCTTTTCTCATTCAGTGTAATGTCACTTAAATGCATAGTAAGGGTTGTGACTTTTGTTATTTTCTTCTCCATTACTGCAGTACTGGATGATTATGCACCAGGGTCACATGATGTTGGGGATCCAAGCACAACAAATTTGTACCTGGGAAACATTAATCCTCAAGTAAGTTTGGAGCCATCCTGTGAAGTGCAGCAATTAGCATGTTTGGGTCCAGCTGAAATTCTGACAGTAGCTTTTTTCAGTAGCATATTCTAAAATGCATATATAAGGTACAGTTAGCAACTGTAGAGGCAGTATTCATTTGAATATAGATGTGCTGTATATGATGCTGAAATGGTTAAGGTTAAAATATCAGTTACTAGATATAAAAATGCTGAACAGAAATAATTTTTCTGTGGATATTTCCTTCTGAGAAGAATTATCTGAGAAATTTGATCTTAATTTAGAATTCAGTCTCCTTATTATTGTTTTATAGCAGATTTAATTGGTGAAGAATCGATTAAGTGTTCTCCATGAAATCAAAATAACCACATTTGCACAGTAATATGAACAAATATCTTAAAAACATTGCTGTGAGAGGCTAATTTTTACTTTTATTTCGTTTAGATGAATGAAGAGATGTTATGTCAGGAATTTGGACGCTTTGGACCATTAGCAAGTGTAAAAATTATGTGGCCAAGAACTGATGAAGAAAGAGCAAGAGAAAGAAATTGTGGCTTTGTTGCATTTATGAACAGGAGAGATGCTGAAAGAGCTTTAAAGAATTTAAATGGTAAACAGATTTTTCAGTTAGGGGTCATAATTAATTTTTTTAGGAACACTCTGTGGTACGTTTTGCGAATAAATGTGACTAGTGTGCAGAAAATAATTCTTAGTAACTGATGATAATCAGGTCCTTTTCTTTCGAGTGGTATCTGAATTTTTAATACTTAAGAAGTAACTAGTACACCAAACGTGCTTTTTGTGTATGGACTATTTTGTCTATCTTCAATGGGGGGAGGAGGGTGAAGGGGAAGGGGAAAAAGTATCTTAAGTGTTAAGGAAAGCTATGTCTTCATAGGTCAGGAAGAGCCAAAAATCAGAAATCTACATCCTGGACAAAAATAATAGAAAATGAAAGGATGTTGTTCTCTGCTTATGCAAAATGATACTCTTTCATGACCATTGCTGAGTAAATTACAGTACATAGGAGTTGTTATGGCTTATTAAATTTGTTTTTGAATAACATCATTTTATATTTGTTACTATGAGAGGAAAAACATTTTGAACAATTACAGTGCAACAATGATGTAACTTAAAAAAAAAATTGCTCTGTTCATTCTGATGTGTTGAATCAAGTTTCTTCAATTTTTTTGCACAACAGTTCAAGTAATTGTATACTGTAGTCTCCTGAACATGTACGTAAGGGAGGATTAATAAAATGTTTTGTGTAATGGGCTTTCATTTGCATAAGGTACAGCCTGGTAAGTATGATAAGTTAACAACTTAAGCAGAAATTAAACCATGGCAGGGAAACCTAACTATTGCACTTACACAGGATAATCTGGTCCAGTGCAGAATCAGTTCATGACAACTGTGTTTTTACCTTTTTCAGGCAAGATGATTATGTCCTTTGAGATGAAGCTAGGCTGGGGCAAAGCTGTGCCTATCCCACCACACCCAATATACATTCCACCTTCAATGATGGAGCATACCCTCCCACCTCCTCCTTCAGGTCTGCCTTTTAATGCCCAGCCTAGAGAGAGGTTGAAGAATCCCAATGCTCCAATGTTACCCCCACCAAAAAACAAGGAAGATTTTGAGAAGGTAACTTATAGAACCCTGGGCCATATCTCATTGTTAAACACTACATCTATGAGAGTATTTCAGTGGCTTCATAGATCTGTATTGTTCTGGCTGACTTTGGCAGCCCTCAGTGTACAAACTCGTTGGCTCCCTGCTGTAGCCCAAGGGAACCTAACTAATTCCTGAAGTGATGTCTGTTGTCTGCATTAGGGTACAATGTATTGGATCTTGACTTAATTTTAGCACTGCTTTAAATCTAGCTATCATTTTCCCCCTCCAGGCTCCCTGGATATTTTTTCTCCTACGCCCTCCCCCCCCTTTTGTTGGCTGCCAAATTGCAGTATCTAAATTATTTTCTTTAGACAAAATACTATGTTTTAATTTGAGTAGCGTTATTTTTACTCTAGAAGAATTGATATATTGTGTGTAGAAGGTAATTTATCTGGACATTCAGTAAGTATTTAATGCTACTTATGGAGTCAGCTTTCAAACTCTTTTTTTTTCTGGAATATTAGCTGATAAAAATGAGGGGTAAGTATCTTGTAATCACAAACCTTGATTTACATTTGTAAGAATTTGTTGATTCTTTGAATGACACTTAAATGTTAGGGTTGTTTTTTCTAAGACTTGGAAATAAAGTAATACCAACCTGATCCAAGTCAAATAGTTTAGAATCGTTTCATAAACTTAAGAACTCTTCTCTTAATTATTATATTCAGTGTAGAAGCTATTCAGTGCATCAATGTACATTCTGACAGGAATGTTCTGATACTTGGCAATTAGTGAACCTTTATGGTTCACTGTCACAACCATTTGCATTTTGTGTAATTGCTTATCTATAACTTCACAGCAGTGATTGCCTGCAAAACTTGTGATAGATGTGTAGTATTTTCATTGCATATGTATATTTTTGCTTGTTACTTGTTAACAATACTCACATATTCTATGTTTATTATCTGATGTGACTTCATATACAGACTCTGTCGCAAGCCATAGTCAAAGTGGTTATCCCAACAGAAAGGTACATGTTTTTCTTTATTATTACTGATCTAAATATAGAAAATTTCCCCTTCGGAATTTTAAAGAAAAATTGTGATGTTGAGGAAAAGGTAACAGCTTGACTGAGCAATGGTTCTTTCATAATGCTTGAGAGAGATGAATGTGTTTTATGATCTTATTATCTTTATCTCAATAACTTTTTTTTTAGTGAGGCTAGATTGAAGTAATTATCTTTTGCATGGTATTTGAGCAATTTCAGTTAGAAATAGTTGGAGGATAATTTTGTGAGTGAACACTAGGGAGAAATAGGTTATTTTAGTGATGCTTTGCGAGTCCCAAAATAAACCTCTTAAGTACTTGATGGCTAGGATGCAGCTGTCTTCAATGTGGTGCTGTCATTTTTTTCCTTTTTTTTTCAGTTGTACAATTTGTAACTAATTCAGTTAGTGATAGGTTTTAATTTCTACTGTTTTAAAAAATGCACAGCAGCCAATGATTATGGTTAGTTCCATAATGCAAGTGTATTTTTGCATTTTGTTCTCTATCAGTGCCTCTACGTTCGCTCCAGTCTAGGTATACTCTTGCTCAGTTAAGCTAAAACCTTTTCCCAAACATAGGAACACAACACTGTTTTAAAAGTAAATAAGCACGAAAGATTTCCAAATTCTCTTTGACATTGGCCTTGGTGAGCAACACCAGCTGAACTGTCTGCGGCAGCGGGGGACCAGGAAAACATCATGGGATGGATTGGGAAAGTATACAGTTTTTGACCAGACATTGGTACGATCGGCTCCAATAAATGTGGTTTTATTATAACTGAAAAACTTTTTTTTGTTGGCCAACTTAAGCTAAATGACATCTTAAATGCACTTAAAACTATCATCTTTTTGTACAACACTGTTTTAATTGTCACCAAGTCCCTTTTTTTTTTGCGTGTGCGTGGGGGGAAGAAAGATCTATAAAGCTAGTTACAATAGCTAATTAACATATCACTAAATGCTCAATGCATTTTGACTAGAAAATTTTCTATTAAACTTTAGGATGGTACAATTTTTGCTGGGTGGAGGCATGAATAATTAGAATGACCAGGAGGAATCTTAATTTGAAAAGTGTACTAAAGAATAAGTACTGATGTGACTGTTCAGTTCTTCATAGTAATTAGCTTTCTGAGAGAAGTATGGTTCCATGTTATTTATTGTAGTGTTCTGAAAGTTCGTTGGTAAGAAAAGCTCATGTTAATTGAATTGCATTTGAAAATACATTCATTTTCCTTGGCTTGATATCTATAAGCGATAATGATAAATGTTACAAAGACTATTACACGATATATTGCATTATGTACAAATTCTGACAAACTTTAGTGGGATACTGCACTGAATTATTCTCCTTGGCAGATTTTCAATACTGATTTTTAACATCTGTTATGTCTTGACAGTTTCTAAAAGGCAAACATTACATAAATACAGTCGTCTTTTTTCTTCTGAGAAATGCCTTATATGCTAGAATGCACATTAACACTTGCTGTTCAGCTGTGGGATGCGCTGAGTCTTTTCATACTTTAGAGGACTTTCTGAACCAGATGTACTTGCCCAACCATAAGCTGCTCTTAAGCAATTTTATTGTGCTTGATAAATGGACAATTAGATGAAATCCAGTAGCACAGTTCTGTAGCAAGCCAGAATTGATCGTATTGAACTTGCCTTACAATAAACATATGCTGTAATAGCTCAGAGATGTAAAAAAAAAGCGTTGTAATTTTTTTTCCTATTTGTGTTTTCAAATACAGTTCATATAACAAGAACAGTTTTGCTATTTGCACTTTCAGAATACTGCTTTAAATAAAATGGCCGAAGAACTGCTAGTACTGTCCTCCATACAGTGTTTAGGATATCACAGAAAAAGTATTGGGCAGTTGAGCTATATGTATCAGTTTGGTATTTTCTGTGCGTGATATGAGAGGAAAAGAGAGATTAATGCTAACTGGCATAAAATATTTGCCAAGTTTGCAGATGGATGGATAGGTTTTTTGTTATCATATTTTAGTATTTTTTTTATTTTTTATCTAATGCATTGTATCTGTGACAGATTTCTGATTAGACGTGATGGAAAATAATCACCCAATTATCAGGAACTGATATAAAATTATTCAGCTTTTCAATGTAGCTATTTTGAATTTGGATAATGAAAATTTACTATAGGAAGTTTTAGTTTAAAAGACCCATATCAGTTTGTTACATTTTAGAAAACTAATTTAAAAATGTAAAAATCTGTATTTTTTTTGTTTGCATCACATTCAGAAGGCACGTGCTGTGAAGTTTTTGATACATGTAGGTAATCTGTTTTTGAAAAATTAGGAACTAGTTTCTGGGGAAAAAAAAATCCACAGAACCAAAAGGTTGGAAACTGAAATAACTGTTATCTATAAAGCTTATATAACACTACATATAATACATAAGCCATTAGCACATTTATAAATGCATTCACGTTTTCAAATGCTGCTTCAAAAACATGCAGTTAATTCAGATATTCTTCTTGCTTGTCTGAGGAGGTAGTGCTGAATAAAATGAATACAGATTTTTATGTTTTTTTAAATTGTGATTTCATTCTCTTGATTGTGTTAGGAAGGAAACACTGGTATGACATGGAATGATGAACAGTTTTGTTCAGCATCTCATCCTTGAGTCTTGACCAAAAGGAGGTTACCCAAATTGAATGGAACCACTGCTCTGTTTGGCATCAAGAAGGCTATTTGCTTTTCCATTTATTCTTGAATAGTTTGAAAGCTGAATGCAGTTTCTATTGAATATTCAAAACCATTTGCATTTAGTTTTGAACACAGTATTCAGCCATTCTTACGTTTGTAGAACTGCAGTTAACACTTGGGTCTTAGTACTAGATACATTAGGTGAGGGCTGAAATTTTAAGAGTTAATTGCCCTTTGGTGCTCAGTTGCCTGTTTTATGCATAAGGACTGTTGAGCTTCTCCTAAGCAGGAGATGGTTGTAGGCTAAGCTGTGGAAGTTCAGCGATGAGGTTTCCTTCTAAGTTGTTACTTGAGCGCTCTTAGGCATGTTTTTATTTTAGAGTGCCAGTGTCTGTGATGCAAGGCTATTATTCGTTCCATGTTACCTTATTTTCTGTACAATCCATAACAATGCAGCAAAATAATCTTCTGCACAGTTATAGTATCTTAGATGGAGTGTAGCTTTATATAGTGTTAGGTCTGAATCAATTTTTCTTTAACTGTGTTGTTGTTGTAGGAATTTGCTCGCACTGATACATCGAATGATAGAGTTTGTGGTACGGGAAGGGCCTATGTTTGAAGCCATGATCATGAACCGAGAAATCAACAACCCAATGTTCAGGTGCTTATTACATTGCTTTGATTTGAAATTGTTAACTATTTTTGCTGTAGCTAGTTGTTTTGCATTTCTGAACTGCTAATAGGAGTTGGTTTTACCATGTCTACTTTTGTGTGCAGTTGTTAAATTTTAAAAAACTGTACTTCTCAAACTAATGCTTATGCTGTTATTTTATGAAGCATATAGATTTAATTCTAATGTGTAAAAAATATTCTGTATATACGATATGAATTATTTGCATGAATATTAAAAAATTAATTTCAATTTATCTGAGAAATTCAGCATCGTCTGTGGAAGCAGTAGAATACATTTAAAAAAAGAAGCAAACTAAATAAAATAAAATCTCTTCAAAAGCAAACAAAATAACTCATTGGAAACTAATCTTCCCAGAGCCTGATTTCTAGAGCCTAATTTCTAACCTGTAGCAAGAATTGGAAATCAAACAATTTCCTTTGATGTCAGTACAGATAGGATTAAACTTGAGTTGGCATAGCGAAGTTGTGAGAACTTCCTGCTGTTTTTAATGAAATTTAAGATATTTTTCTAAAATTCTTCTGAAATGCAATCAGAAAAATTTAATTCATGGAAATACTAAAAGATCTATTAAAAATGTTTTATTTGTGGTAAGGTTGAAGTGTTTGTTTCAAATTAATGTACAAATGGAGGAAAATACACAGGCCAAAGTAAAATATCTGGCCATTTAAAAATACTGTGGATTTTTGCCTGATCTTGTCAGAGTGTTCTGACAACTTACAGGAGGAAAACTTCAAGTCATTTAGTATGCAGTCTGAGCAGCCTGACTGTATGGCTGTGAGTTCCTCAGCTTGTGGCAAGGCTGCCGTAGCTCCAACAGTGATTGTGCAGTGGAGTGGGATTGTGAACAGGGGTTGGATATATTTGTGATGGTTTCCTTCAAATTATCTTCAGGTAATTAACCTCCAGTGTGTTTTGTGTCTCTCTTCTCTGGTTTTAGGTTTCTGTTTGAAAACCAGACTCCAGCCCATGTGTATTATAGATGGAAGCTTTATTCAATTCTTCAGGTAGGTAAAGTTTTTAGTGTCAGTTTGTAACCTTAAGAATTATGAAGTAAATTTAAACAAACAAAACAAAGCCAAATCAAAAACTTGTTCTTTACAGGGAGATGCTCCAACCAAGTGGAGGACAGAAGATTTCCGTATGTTCAAAAATGGATCGTTTTGGAGGCCACCACCACTAAATCCTTATTTACACGGGATGTCAGAAGAGCAAGAAACAGAGGCATTTGTGGAGGAACCGAACAAGAAGGGTGCACTTAAGGAGGAGTATGAACTCTTGTTCACTGTTTTTTATATTAGTGCCTTTTTGATGATACTTAGTGCTTAGTACATTTGGGTTTTGTTAGGTTTGTCTTAAGTGAGCCATGAGTTCTTTTAGTGGAGTGGATGTTAAGCTTTTATATGAAGGGGATGGGTAGTATGAGAGGAGTTCTTCCATGTTTTCTGTTCCTATCTCTTAATGAAGTTATAGAACACTGATCTCAGCATTCTAGGAACTGAATGAACTAAACAGTTATTGTAATCTTACATTTATTGATGTTGTTATTCTGAAATTAAAATAGAGAGCAGTTACTAATAAGCAGAAAGGGAGAGACTGTCAGAGTTCTTTGCGGTGAATCTTAAGTGTGATGGGAACGGCTGTAGTACTGGAAATACTTACATGACTTCTTAAATTTCGCTGTCGTTGATCCAAGTGTATCCATAGCCTCGTTTTGTCCTTTGTTCTCATTTTGTCCTTTTATCATAATTATGATACAAGCTGTGGTTCTGAAGTCTTAAGAACAGCTTGTATCATAATACACATTATTACATATGTATTACATATTATGTAATTCACATTCCCTTTTCGAAAGGTTAAAAAGATGTTCTTTTAAAAGTTATTTCTTTGTATTGTATTGAAGAATTGCTTTCCGCTAGCTTTCTGTATCTGATGATTCTAATTCCACGTTAGAAAGTGCTTATGTGGCTTCCATTTATTTGTTTTTCATTCGGACTTAAACAATGTTTGAATTGATTATTACATGTTTGGATATATTGATATTCTGCATTAGCTGTTTGTCAGCTGTTTTTCTTCATTTCTATTCATAGTCAATACTTGAATAGCGAATTTTTTGCGTATTATTTATGTGATGAACATGGGCTTATTGATGCATGTTATGAGTCATTGAAAAAAAGCTCAGACGTAGAATTGAAAAATATTTCGAATTTCTTTAGTCCTGAAGACAGCAGAATCAAAGACATTAGGAAATAGAAATTCCCCAAACACTGCTAATTTTATATTGAAAGTATTATAATCCTCCTATTTCAGACAGAGAGACAAGCTAGAGGAAATTTTGCGTGGATTAACGCCTCGAAAAAATGATATTGGCGATGCTATGGTTTTCTGTCTAAATAATGCAGAAGCTGCTGAAGAAATTGTAGACTGCATTACAGAGTCGCTGTCCATTCTGAAGACTCCTCTTCCCAAGAAGGTGTGGAGATTTTCTGTAATCATACTTAATCATACTTATGTTTTTTTGGGGAAGAGCTCAATTAACAAAAAGTGTGTGTGTGTAATTTTCAAGCACTATTTTGTAAGTTTAGTGTTATGACTTCATATTAAGACCAGGCCTTGAATTCAAGTATGGTATGTTGTATTTTTGTAACACACTATATTCCTTGCTGAAATTGCTTATGAATAATGTTTTGCCTTGCTCTAAAATTGAAAACTGCAGAACAATCCATTGAAAAATAAGAAATAGTAACTGGAATGCTGCAATTTGTATTTTGTAATATTAGTTAAGAAATATACTTATTGTTACAATGTGGCTGTATTAGCCCCCTGTATTAGCATAACAGGGGGCTAATAGCATCTTAGTATGTCTATTACAACATGTCTGCATTATATTTAGTTCTAATTTCATACTTGTAGATGGTTTAAGCCATCTTGTATCATATCTGGAAAATGCATATATTTTCAGGATAATTAAGCTCTAATGTTATCTTAATTTGAGCATTCTTTTTTGTAGATAGCAAGATTATATCTGGTGTCAGATGTGTTGTACAACTCTTCCGCTAAAGTTGCCAATGCTTCCTACTATAGAAAATTGTAAGTACAATATTTTAGATGATTGCTGATTAAGAAGGAGTGTCCTTAAGTTCAGTTTTGTGCATCTCTGGATAAATGTGGTCGTAGAGGAATTCACAAGTGTCTCTGAAGATATCCTTGCAACACTGGTAGTTCTTACATCTTTTTACCTGAAACCTGTGTAAGGTGCAGCACATTAATGCAGAGGATGTTTTGTAAAACAAACGAAAGAACCTGAAAGGCCTTGTATGTGCTCAATGCAAGCAGTGGCTTGCTTGGAACCTTGTAGAGAGATGAGGATATGTGCATATTTTTCTATAAAGAGGCTGTACATAATATTGCAGGTATGGTATAGTAAGGCATCTTTGCAAAAGAATGAGTTTTTGAAATAGAGTTTATAATTTAAGAAGTAATTTTTTAATTTGTATTTTTTCTTTACCACTTCTTCCCACCAAGTTTTTAGACCTTACAAGGGGTTTATGCACTTTGTTTTGAGGTGCTGAGCAGAATTTACCAAAATGTACAAGGGAAAGAACCTTTGCTCTATACAGATAAATGATTGTGTTTATTGCCTGGAGTATCACTAATGTTATTGTAGCATGATAGGGAATATTCAACATGTTGTGAAAGTGTAGTGATTGCAAATCACGTTTCTTGTCTTTGCTTTGCTAGTTTATTTTTTGCATGTTAAGGGAAACTCAAAGGGAAGCAAAGCAGCTGTTACTCATTGCTTTCATTGAGGGCCTTTCATTGAGAGAAGAGAAACAACTGAGAATTTTTAAAAGTGATTTTTGAGAATTCTTTGATTCTGTGTAGGATTGTAAAACATCTTTTATCCTCATTCAGTTTTTCAGGCTATATAAAAAGACTGCAGCAGATGGGAAGATCTCCCTTCATAGCTCTGTTGTTGTCAGAGCTGATTTAATATGTAGTAACTATATTTACCTTGTAATTCAGTTTAAACCAAATATAGGGATTGGAATCTTGTGCTTTTGAATCCTGTGTCGCAGGTACTTTCAAGACTTATGTATGTCTGGAAAAGATATATTACAAAGTTTAACTAAAGAAATGTATATGTTTAATTCTAGTTTTGAAACAAAATTATGTCAGATATTCTCTGATCTCAATGCTACTTACCGTACAATACAAGGCCATTTACAGTCTGAAAATTTCAAGGTATGTATTTAATTGTTATTTATATGACATAGAAGTCAAATACACAGATGTTCCTGCACAAGCCATTGAATACTAGGATGGGTGGTTTAAACTTCAAGCTTCATAATTAAGCTTTACTGAAAGAAAAATGTTTCCTTTCTTGCAGAAATAGCCTTGAAATTAACTTTGGTCTTTTTGAAATTATTGGAGGAGCAGCAGCTTTTCTATTTCATGCTTGTTGCCTTCTCTTCTGAAGAGAAATATAAATGAAATGTTAAGAAGACAGCTAGTGTGTGAGAGACTATATACCTAGTGGTACATTTAGTAGTGGAGTATAGAGTATATCTAGTACTTAGGTAGTGCCAGCAAGATTTCTTAGTTTCTTAGTTACTTTAGGACCACCCATATTTCACTTTCAAAAATAAATTTTTTGCTGCTTTGTTTGAAAGAAACTTCTGGACTTAGAAGCATAAATTAGTTTTTAAAATATTTTAGATAATAATCCTATTTTTTTGAGGTGTGATAAGCGATCTGACCACATGTAATTGAGAATGATTTTTTCAGGTAGTGTTCAGCTTCTCTATTCCATACGCTTAGCCCTACTCTTCCTTCTATTTCTTCTATTGTTTTAGTGATGCAGTTTTTTTTCTTTTTTGGTTATTTTTTTAAAATTTGAAGCTTAAATATGAAGTTTACAGTGTAGCTGGTTTTTCTATGTTAAGGTTTAAATCTTTGTTCTTCTACCTTCATTCCCAGTTGCTCTAGATTGATAATCAGTTATCTGTGGTTTTAAAACCATTGTATACTTCTCATTTAAGTGATATTTAGAGGGAAAAAAAAAATCCTAATTTATTTATATATTTTTTTGTTACTTGCTTTGCCAGTATCGTATCACTATTGTATGTTCCAGTAGGGAACTTGTTAGGACTATCTCTATCATGGTAGCTTTCTGTGGTGTATTTTCAGTCACTTACAATTTCTTAATACAAACTTATTAGCTTTTTTGTTCCTATTGCTTCTAGCAACGGGTAATGACATGCTTCCGAGCATGGGAAGACTGGGCAATTTATCCAGAACCGTTTTTGATCAAACTACAGAACATTTTCCTGGGGCTTGTAAATATCATGGAAGACAAAGAAACAGAGGTAAGTGTCCTTAGTAGTGATGCAAGCAGACGATGAGAGAATGTCTAAGTATAGAATAAAACTATAGGGGTAAATATAGAAGTATAGAATAAAACAAGGGGTAAATAAAGCTGTTATTTGTAAAAATAATTTATGGATTTTGATTAATCTTTGTGATATGAACATGCTTATGTAGCACCACAATGTTTTTTTTAATGTCAAATCCTTTGTCTTAAAGACAGGTGTAACATATACTCAGATGCAAATATTGTTTAATGTGTTTACAGTTTGAAGATAATATACTGCACCAGATTGCTTTCTGCAACCGTTTCAGAGCAAAGACTAGTGCAGAGTGATGTACATTTTCTGTGTGTTGGCAATACTCTGCAGTGTTTATGAATTCAGAGTTTGATTTTCAACTGTTAGTTTTAGTTTTTGAGAATTCTGATTAATGTGGTGTAGGAAAACTGTTAGATCGTGGCTCGAACTGGTGATTGAGCACCTGGTGAAGGGATGAGGCTGGTCCAGGAAACACAGGTGAATTATTTGCTCCTGTGCTCCCTGCATGACCAGAAGGGGTGAAGCCAGGGTGGAGCCACCCTGGACTCATGTAAAGGCCAGCCACTGAAGGGAGAGCATTTCTTGGGCCTAAGCTGCTTTTGAGAAGGAGTGCTGCATAGCCAGAGAGCCCCTTCACTAGATGGGTGAGTTTCGTTCTTCCCTCTGTGTATAAATATTGGCCTATTTGTGAATACTTTGCCTGGTATTGCCTAGAATCTGTCAGAAACACGTTTGCTTCTTTGTAAGTGGAATGCTTGGGAGCTGGTTAAATGAGCCATCAGTTTTCTTTCTGCACGAGTTTCATGGTTAGTATAAAAGAGCCATTTCATCTTCCTTAATTTGGAAGGAAAGACTTGCAATAGATGATCTGCACTGGTGGTATTCTGCATTGGTCTTTGTGTTGTATTAGAGCAAAAAGTTGCTGACTTTTTAGTTATGTTACAGCATGTATCTGTTTTCTTTTTATTTCCCTGCCCCTGGATAGTGGTTATTTTAAACAGGCTCTATAGTGAGTTCTATTGGCTGCCTAAAATAGTGATGCGTCAACTGTTCTTCAGTTTTTGAAGCTCAATGCTTAAAAATTCTAGAGTACCATTAGCAGTGAATGAATGTGTACTTATTTGTTTAAAGTTTGGTTTCCGCTGTCTTGATTCTCTTCAAATAATATTTACTTATTCTTGCTAAATAGTTAATTTCTGACAGCGGTTCAAATGACTGGTTCTTAGGGGATCTTTCATATGTAGTAAGTGTAGTCTGTCTAACTAATTGGCACATTTTGAGTTAACCCTCAGTTTAATGTTTTTATTTGGATCAGAAGATTCTTCAGAATGATATTACAAAGTTTCCAGTACATTTTGGACAAATTCCAGGTTCTTGCTTATCATTTTGTATATGACATTGATCATAATTTTACTCTGCAATAAGCAAATGTAGTCAGTAGCAAAAAATTATCTTAAATTTGAGGGTTTTTTGAGGGTATTCCAAGTCTTTTAAGGTTATTCTCTTAAAAAGGAATGAATAAGTGATTGGAGAAATAAAGAAAAACAACTTAAATTCATTCTTCGATTTATTCAATCTTTATCTAGATTTATTTGATGTTATCTTCTTTCAGGAAGTACCAGATGATCTTGATGGTGCTCCCATTGAGGAAGAGCTTGATGGTGCTCCATTAGAAGATGTGGATGGAATTCCTATTGATGCTGCTCCTATTGATGATCTGGATGGAGTTCCCATTAAATCATTGGATGATGATCTTGATGGAGTACCTTGTACGAAATATTTCAACTTCACTTGCAATTTAAACCTTCAGTTTTTGATTATAGATGTTGATAATCTTTGTGGCCACCTCTAGACCCCTCCAACAAACTGGTCTCATGTAGTTTAGTAACTGCTTAATTTCAATTAATCATAGGAGGAATTAGTTTATTTTAGATTGTAATTTTTTGAGATACATGATACATAGATGCATCTCAGCTTCCAAATACTTATTTCTTTTCTTTGCAATTGATAAAGTGATATAATAAACTTCAGTATTAGCATCACACTGTTAAGTAAGAATTTTTAAGTTAGAATTTTTGTAGAGCTTTGGAAATGATTTTTCTGGGTCTTTCTCCAACAGTGGATACGGCTGAAGACTCAAAAAAGAATGAGCCTATATTTAAAGTTGCTCCTTCAAAGTGGGAAGCAGTGGATGAATCAGAATTGGAAGCTCAAGGTTAGTTTTCAAAGTATCTGTTAGAAGGCTGTTTTCCTAAGTAAGCTGGCAGTTTAAATTCACTTACTGATTTAATGATTGTTTTCAGCCTCTCTGTTTGAAAATGCTAATATGATTTCTGTAATAATGTAGCAGTTTTCAGTTCTGATTTTTTTTTTCTTGCTAGTCTTCTGTGAAGGAGTTGGTTTATTTTGTTTTTATTTACGTACTTTGGTAGCTTGCCAGCCTTTAAAACTAATTTCTGATTCATTACGAGTAAGTATTAGAAAAATCAGAGTATTATGGCAGTCTTTTTCCAAACATGTTTGTGACGGTTAGGATTTTATAAGCTAACAAATACTTCATTGCTTCTGAAAGGTTTACTGACACAACAGGTGACATAAGTGGATATCTGTAAGCAATATATATTCTGATAACTTGTAATTTGTAGTATTTGTGAATTAAAAAGTCTTTATTAAGTGTTAGATGCTGTAAGGTTTTACCATAATGTGATTTTTATCATACTTACAAATAAGAATTTTCAGATGAAGTGATAACTCTTCCTGTTGTTGAAATTATCTTATTGTGTTTTCTAGCTGTTACCACTTCTAAATGGGAGCTTTTTGATCAACATGAAGAATCTGAGGAGGAAGAAATACCAAAGTAAATATTTGGATTTTTTTCTTCTAATCTTTGTCTAGCATTTCCCTTTATTAAGAAGTATTTCTACTGAAAGCTATGGTGCAAAGGAAGTTATAGAAACATTTTAAACGTGTATCTGCATTGGCATTTTAACTTGTTAGCATGTTACTTTTTCAAGTTGCTTTTGCTTAAAATCTTAAAAATTGAGGGCACTTGAATACGTTTTTTCAGTATGAAAAATGGTTTTCTACCTTTGAGATTGAATGTTTTGATAATCCATTTAGGTTAGATATTTATTACAAGAGCAGAACAAAAGAAATGTTCAAAGTAGGAATATAAGAAAATAGAAAGTCAAAATTCTATTGCAGCATGCTTTTGGCCCCTGTAAACATGTTAAAATACACTTTTTGGTAGAGTTGTCAACCGTTATCTTTAAAATGATAATGATTTGTTAACTTATTTAATGTCAAATAGTTAGAACTGGGGTAGTACTTACAGTTTGGTAATCGTGAATGTCAAATTTATTTGAAGGGGTCTAAAACTCTCTGCCTTCTCTCTGTACACAAAAGAATGAATAATAGTCTGATGTGTATGTTTAGATGTGAGTAGACTTCCTACCATCTGTTGTTTTTCAGCAGACTTGTATTTTATTCTTCAGGCAAACTGAGAGCATCTGTTAGTAGTGCTTTAAACATTTTACTGCCTTATATGTTGTGCTGAAGCACTCTAGCGGCCAATCTGGGAATATCATTTTAAATATTTGCCATGATTGTGGCTTGCTTTCAAAAATAAAGGGTGTAGGTAGTTTTGTTCTTTAATAGCACTAATTATATCTTCAAGGCATGATTACAGTACTTACAGATTCAATTGAAGTAATAACTTGTAACTCAGTTCTGTCTGGGTTTGCTGACTGTGAATTTCAAGAATTCTTGTTTTGTTTATATGAAAAATGTAAATTATCTGAGGAATGAAAGCTAGTGATGTAATTAAATGAAAATATAAAGGTATCTGCCTCACAGACTGAGACGTTTTTGTAACTGCAGTTTGTTACATTTAGCAGATTTCTAAACTAGTAACTAAATGCAAACTAAGTAGTAGAGATGGTAAATTTTATGACAGATTGTCTTTGGTATGTACAAACCAGTTTAATTCTTCGTTTTCTATAAAGTCAAGAAGAGGAAAGCGAAGATGAGGAAGACACTCAGAGTTCAAAGTCAGAAGAGCAACACATGTATTCTAATCCTATTAAAGAAGAGATGCCTGAGTCCAAGTCATCAGTCAAATATTCAGAAATGAGTGAAGAGAAGCGTGCCAAACTCCGGGAGATTGAGGTCAGTGTGTGGTATTTTGTGCCAGCCTTTTGTATCTTTTCAATTCCCCCTGTCCATAAATTCTCTACTTACTGTTGGAAATTATTTTGAAATAATATTTAAATATATTGAAATATCATGGTTGTGATATATGCTTTTTTTTTAGTCTGGTGTATTTTTTTTATAATGGTTGGTTTAGTATTGCCATGCTTTTATGTTGACTTAAGATAACACAGGAAAAAATTAGTAGTTAAGTCTCATACATTGCCATGCAAATCGGGTTTAAAATACATGCTAATTTCCAGTCTTTATTTGGTATTGAAACCTGTAATACGTTGATACTGCTGTTTTTTGTACCTTCTATTCAGTGATTTAAAATGGTACTAACGGGCTGCTAAGCTGCTGTTGCAGTTACAGTGTCTCCAAGTGACAGATTATAATTCTGAAGGTGGCATTGAACTGCCTACCTGTTTGTGCTACAGTGTACTGCTTAGCAAATGAGACGTTAGCAAACTCCCTTTAAGTTTCTTATAGAGTTTGCAAGAGTTAAGGTTATAAAATATCACGCCCTTTGTTTATCACAAACATGCTTCCATTTAAAAACTCATTTGATCAAAATTAATGGATGGTAACTAAGAACTTATGTGCCTCTTGCACATCACAGCAATGTGAAAACTCATAGCATGTAGCCATGTGAAGTAAGTTGTGAATTATTTGAGAAAAGACAACTGGAAGTTGAACCTCTCTTAACTCAAGGTGGCAGTAGTTTTGTAGAAAATCCATGTTAGGCAAATCAAAGTACAAGCAAAACAAGTTTTCATTTTACTGTAATTATTGTAGCAAGTATGGGAACGGCTCATTCCAAGTGAGGGTATCTTCTTGTAAATGTTAACCTTCATGAACATAGATTAATATTTTTACTTTAGCAATTGTTGGGGCAGATAATGAAGTGATTTACTTCAACAGTTAGCAATTTTATACTAAAGTGTTCATAAGTGCATCCTCTGCCTGTAACAGATTAGGCAGTAAACATTTGAGTTGTTTGAATTTCTTGCCTTCTATATTACCACAAATCACCAGAAGAAGAATGTAATTTTTTTCATTTTTGAAACACTTCAGGCACTATGCTGATGTACGTAAATTCTCAAATTTCTATGTAAATCTATCACTGATAGATATGTACTTCCTGCATTACTTTAAATTGTTCACGCTGAAAGTTTTCTGGTGTGTACTCAATTCCTGCCAAAGAACACATCCATTACTGAATTCAAAGACAAGAATTATATTAAAAAATAAAAAGTCCCCCAAACAAACCACAATTGCTGACTTGAACAGTTATGCCATCTAATATACTGTCAAAAATGTCATCTAATATCTCTGAAGTCTAATTCTCTAGAAGTTTACATGATAATTACTGTGGAAGCTGAAACTATTTTTTTATGCATATTTTTGACATTTTTGCTATACAAATAACTATTTGTCTTGGCACAGTTATTTACGTTTGTTGGCTGGCGGGGAAGGCAGAGTAACAAAGAAGCTTAAGGAACCATGGTCCTGTCAGCACAGGCTAGATATAGCTGAGATTTCAGGTTATTAACCCTTTGCCTGCCTCTGTCCTTGTAAAAATAGGCTCCAAGAATTGTTTCAAGTTAAGCCTGCATCCTCTAATTGTTTAGATGCCTGCCAGAAATGTCTGGTACACTTAGCCAGTGCAAATCTCCTTAGTTTCAGAAGCTGAAATCACTTGGATACCAGTTTTCAAGCCTTCAGAACAGCAACTGCTTATGTAGTGACTTTTTTTTTTGATACTGTAGATAGTGACTTTGTGTGGTGATGTGCTCTTAACCTTGAAGTGCAGGAGTGCACATTTTGGAAGGTGCAGAAACTTATTTGTGAAGAAAATGACAAGGTGATTAATTCCTTTGAACTTTACAGATCAGGTCTGTGCTAAAGAAGCACAGTGCAGGCTTCATCTGCAGCAAGAAGCAGGTTTTTCATAAATCCAGCCATATCAGTCCCTTATCAGGTCAGAACTGGAGAATGTTCTTTAAGTACTAAGTTTTTTACTATGGGAATAGTGAGGTGCTGGAACAGGCTGCCCAGAAAGGTTGTGGATGCCCCATCCCTAGAGGTATTCAAGGCCAGATTGGGTGAGGCCCTCGGCAGCCTGGTCAAGTATTAAATGAGGAGGTTGGTGGCCCTATATGAGGCAGGGGAGTTGGAGATTCATGATCCTTTCAACCCTGGCTATTCTGTGATTCCATGAAGTTTGTTCTCTTCAGTAGCCACTGAGACCTCAAAGCAATGTCTGATTTCTTAAGCAGATGTGGAAGACAAATGGCTTTCAGTTTTCCTGTTCAGGCTTTCACTACAGGAGATGTGGGTAGGATTCTGTCACAGAGTTCTGTGTGCTCTGTCAGTAATTCCTTGCTCAGTGCATACAGAGATACTTTTTACACCAACAAAAGTTGTCATATTGTTGTACAACTTATTTTTCTAACAGGAGGCGAAGAGGTTTTTCCTGCGTGTCATAAAGGAGAACAGTTATTGTCTTTACTTTCTTGAACATACGAGATTAAAGTTCTTTTAGGAAGAATTTGGTCTCCAGTGGAGAAGGCAGAAGGCAAGAGATAAGAATAGATTAAACATAATCCACAAGAGAAGATTGCATCTGAGGCCTATTCTGGATTTAAAGGCTCTCTATCTTTGTTAAGAGACTAAATTTCCATATGGTTTCCATTATTTCTTTCAGTGGATTATGGTACTTAATGTGCAGAATATTCATTTTCTGTATATTTGTTGATCAGGTCACAGGAACTATTTGAGGCTTGTTATCATCTCTATAACAATATAACTTCTTAATCTCTGCAGTCTGAGAAGATTTGTGTATGTAGCTCATTTGAGGCCACTGTAAAATGTCAGAGATAACATAATAAACATATGAACTCTTTCCAACTTAATAATAACAGATGAGATAAATTGGCCTTTGTTTGACCAGTAGTTCTGCTATTTATCGCAGTTTTTCCTTAGATGATGATGACTATCATAATGCTGCAGAGATTCTGGTCTATTTGAAATCTTTGAATCTACTTTTTTTTACAGAAGAAAAAAGGGAATTGCTTAGCTGCAAGACATGTGGCATCCTGTGCATGAGACTGAGTATGTTAGGATTTTGTTAGGGTTGAAAAGGTATTTCAGATCTGCACATCAGTACAGCCGTCATCTGTTGTTAATGATAGGATAGCTTCAGAAATCATAGTAGCCACAGCTTGTTGGAAAATATAGGCTTCCAAAGCAATATTTTGCTCTGCATTTTGTGAAGGCTAGGACTTCTTGCAGCCCTTATTAGGGTGAGTCTCTTTTAAGGAAGAGCAAGACAGTTTATGCTGCTCAGAAGTCTACCCTATAAGTAATATCTCTAGACTTCAATGCAATTAAACATCAAGAAGGAGGTTCTGTCTTTAATCAATTATCTGGTCATTACCTTATTGTTAATCGAAGTGACATATACTAGTATTAAGTTCTTTGAACCTAAGCATTTAAGTTCCAAGGCTTGGTGTGTGTGCAATAGCATCTTGTTGAAAAACGTTTTTCCCTGGAAATCATTGCATATGAATTCAATATCAGCAAAAGGATAGAATCAAGAACAGTTTGGGAAATGTATTTAAGTGAGAGAGGCACACCTGTTTGTCAAAATAAAAAAAGCTATAGGCTGATATCAGCCTGCATTTTGCATGAATGGTGGTAGTAAGATGTTACCCTTCTGTGACTTGATTATTGGTTACCCAGTGATTAAAACCATAGTTTATAGGAAAAGCAGAATCTTTTTAAAACGAGTTTTTCATGCAATTTGAGGGAGGAGGGGGAATCAAGGTTAGAACAGATAGGGGAAAAAAAAAAGACATGTTGTGGAGCTGTTTCTCTTGAACTTGCATGATGTACCATCTTAGGTTTAGTGAGAAATGTGATCCCTGCATTGGAGGATATGGTAGAGATAAGTCACAAGAACTCCAGTGGTACCTGGTGCTTTGCATTCTGCTTTGTACTGTGAACTGTGCTGCTTATGAAAGCCTCCAAACAGTGTTGTGGGGGAGCTTTTGTGGGTAAAACATAAGCAAGTAGATAGCATACCTAAGGAAAAATTTTCCTTTTCCATGTTGCTGTGTGTATTACTGACTGTAGAGATTGCCTAGATAAAGTTGGCATCTCTGCTCCTAAAATTAAAGAAGTTTATAAGTTTTACTTCTGTTGCCCAAGAGTAGCTAAATAAATAATTAAAAAACAAAACATAAAAACATTTCAGTGATAACATGTTAGTCAGTTCTTTCTGAATGCAGGTTAACGGAAGTGGAATGTTTACAGCAATCTCGATTAGATACTTAAGCAGATTTAAGCCTGAGTTTTAAGGATCTCTCTCCTGGAGGGATATCTGCAATTCTATGAGAGGAATGTAAGTACCACACACTGTATGAAGAGATCAGAAAGAAGAGTATTTGGTATGCTGAATACCAACCAGTATGCCAGGAGTGGTAAAGGCCACAAGCAAGCAGCACAAGCTGTTATGCAGCTGCTTACCTCCCCTGAAAGGGAATGGCCTATGCCTACCTGCACCCTGGTTGATCTTTCTGTGAGCCCACATAACTTAATAATGTTGGAAAAAAAATGGGATTATGAGGTGGGATTCTGCTGGATTAATGAATTTACATGGTTCATGGAAGGTTTGGCTGACCACTACAGCTGTTGTAAGGAAAGGATGGAGAAGGAACCCTTTGGCTGGAGCACAGGAATGGAGAGGGCAGGATGGAAAGAATAACCTTCCTGTAGTGAGCCACTGTTATCACCTCGGTGTTTTGTAACATGTAGTTTCTTGTTTGCCAGGAGTTGTAGTAGGACCAACTGACTTGATTATTTTAGGAAGATGCTATGGTTAGAGGAAGTTTAGGTGAATTTATAGGGAGATGGGATAATGTGGAAGAGAGCACTGTTGATGACCCTTAAAATCTTAAGGTTTCCTGAGACAGTTGTGATCTTTTGCAGAACAAAGTGAGAATTTGGCAAAGTGTTGTGTCAGTGATTATTGTATAGGTTTTTCTCCTTTTTTCCCCTCTTTTTCTAGTCACTTACTAAGATCTATTTCTTTTTTTGTCTTCCTTTTTCACCCACATTCTTAGGGAAAACATTCAAATACTTCTTGGCACTTCAGATGTCTTGCTGGCAGTGAGTTCCATGACTTGCATTTAAGACAAATTCCTGGAAGTTCATTATCTTTATGTCCAAGTTACTTAATGACCTGTATGGTGGCAGAGACATCAGAGATGCATAGTTATCCTTGCTGCCTCTCTTATCTTCCTTTTGGAGATCTCACAGGTTATGCTTTGTCAGATGGGTAATGTGCCCAGCAGTCATCTTTCAGTTTCCTGTTGAGATGGTAACACTTTCCTTGCAGGCTTGTTTGTGCAAGGTTGTAGTCCTCGCTAATTATGATTAGAACAAATTTTAGCATGTTTCATTTGCATACGTTCACTGTCCTCTTGTTAGTAGCCTCGAATGCTGGGCTTTGTAAACCCTTGTGTGGTGCATTCTAATGCTGTCCTCTGATGTATGAGGTAGAAGCCTCTTTAAATTGTTATTTTTTTTCTCAAAATGAAGCCACAGATGCTGGAAAAAATGTTCTCTTGTGTATGTTGCTATGCAGGATCAGCAATAAAGCAGGAAATACTCGGGAGTCAGCATAAGCATTTGGAAGAGGGTTGAGAAATACAGTGTGACTTATTGCCAAGTTCCTCCCCACACCTCAAATGACACCTCCTCTGTCCAGAACAATTGGAGGATTGTGATAGGCCATGTCAGCTGTGAAATCAAAGTTAAAATCAAGAATTAACAAATGATAAGGAATGTGAGTAAAGTTTTAGGTTGTGAATCAACTTGGAGAAAGGGTTAGTATATCTAGACCAAAAAATCCCCCTAGAGAAATTCTGACACTTGGTTAACTTTGTGACTGAGGTGGGGATGTTATGGAAATAAATGTAGAATTACACTTCACAGAACTGAGCTTTGATACTAAACTTGATAGCACGTGAAAGAGTATTATGTCAGTAAAACAATCTCTCTCCAAATTGGCCACTCAGTGCAAACAGCCCTGAAGAGGAGACTCATTTAATGTCCTGTGTCATTCATCTGATTTTAATTGAGCATTAAATGGAGGAAAGGCAGTTTCTGAAGAAAAAAAATTCTGGTAGACAGATGTTGAAACAATATATTAAAGAATGCAGTAAGTGGTCTCATTTTGAAAGAAAAAGATGATGTTCAAAGAAATATAAAGGTACAGTGTTCTAATGAAAAAACAGAATTACAGAATGACAGAAAAAATTCCCTTTATTTTTAGTTCCTGATGTGTCTGTAAACAACTGCAGGTGTCTGTGGACAAGCATGTGGTTTTGTTGCTTTGTTCTTATTAAATGAAGTTAGTATTTTGTGCGCAAACTTGTATGGAAAGTATGAACAACATGTTATAAATTACAGGAATTTCATTTTCAGTGACACGCATGACTGGATGATAATAATAAGCTCTGTAACCTAATGATCAGTATTATTTTCACAGCTTAAGGTGATGAAGTTTCAGGATGAGTTAGAATCTGGGAAACGACCCAAGAAACCAGGCCAGAGTTTTCAGGAACAGGTTGAACACTATAGAGACAAGCTGCTCCAGAGGGTAAGAACTGTTCTTTGTTTGGCGCTGATTCTGTGATAGGCGTTTATTGAATTTTATCAAATGTAAGGTGACAGTAAGTATAATGACAAATGGTTCTTGTGGAAATTGTACTGTAATGTTGAACTCCATGCTGAAATCCAAGTGCTGTTTCTGCACAGTAGATATCATCTCTTTTTTTAAAATCAAAATAAATGTAGTGTTTCACACTGTGTAGATAAGTATAGTTGGAATTTATTGTGACCTTGAAGAGGTTGCTTCTGAATCAGCTGCATAAAGTGAACCGTTAGGTGAGGGAAGAGGAAGGGAGAGCAGCCCACTGAAGATGTTCATCAGACTTCAGTTTTGGTTTTTTGTAATTGACCAATTGTGCTAGAGGCTTCTGAAGGAAGAGAAAGAACAGTACAAAGCAGGAAGTGCACTTCTGATTCTCCACTGTCAAAGATTTTTCTGGATGATTCCAGCTAATACTGTCACCCAAAAGTGAATATTTCTGTACCATTACTATTTTTAATAGTCATGTCTGGACTATGAAGTCAGATCAGCTTTAAAAGCTAGCGTTGTCTGTGTGAATAAAGAAAATAACCTGTTTGGACAGTGTGTTTAGTGTGAGAGAGTAAGTGTCGATTGCTTCTGTCATGTTCTTTCACAGTCTGACAGAGCAGTGATGACATTAGAGATGCACGTGCAATTTCTTGGAAGCTAAATACAAATGCTGCACTTCACAGCAAGTGTTTGTCATGTATTCTTTGGGTTATTTAGTGCTCAATATCTGCCTAATTCATTAAAGTAATTTTTTACAGTACCTTGAAAAAAGACTTGTGGAAAACAAAGCTGATCCTGGAACAGATTTACACGTTTGGAAGTTGATGATAGCAATTAAGACTTTAATTGTTATAAATAGCTTTTCATTTCCATGCAGTTCCATCCTAAGACTTTCTGCTTTCTCAGTGTTTTCTGTAGTTGAAGAAAGAAGTGATATGGATGTACATCAAACATGGAATGTTTAGAGTTACAGTTGCCTAAAAGAACACCTCCCACAATTTGTAATTATAATAATCATCATAACTTTATTAGATACTTTTGTGTTTAATTAGGTTATTCAGTAATTATTTCACTTTACTGTTTTTGCCTTCAGTGATCAAATTTAGTTGAAAAGTACTTTGTGATAGTTACAACAGATATTCTTTAAATTATTAAGCCCACTGTTAAGGGGGAATAAATTCCTCTTTTGCTTTTTCGCTTTAGCTCTATTATAAAACGAGTTTTTCTAGTAAAATAATAGTGGTTTTGGTTGTGTTTCCCACAGACCTGGCGTTTCATCTGTCTAACTTGCTATAGAATGAGCTTTTGATGAGTGGAATTTCTAGTAGTATTTTATATTTTCTAACAGAATAGGAAATTAGGACTGTTTAAAATACTGTTTATTCATATTTATTAAGGTAATTAGTTATGCTACCAAATGCGTATCTCAAGAGCCCACTGATTTTAGTCAAAGAATAGCTTGTAATGGTCAATATGATATGGACATTTAAAAATGTTAATAATAGTGTAAAGAAAACATGAGACCAGATAAAATGTGGTTGTTGAGCAATTTCCTGCAGTTGTATTATCCAGCTTCCTCCCCTCTGCTTTTTTCCTTCCTTTCTCTTGAGCAAAATGACAACTTTTTTGGTCTTCCATTCCATGCAGGGTATGCAGTGAATATCTGTCTCTTATCTGTTAAGGAAGGATTGTTTTTTCTATATTAGACTGAGAGAAGTACACTTTTTTGCCTCTCTGTTCAGACTTGCTGAAGTTCTAGCTTTATTTTTTGTATAACTAATTTTCTAACATTCTGATAGATACATGAGCTGTGCCTAGAGGGTAAGTTTCCTTTCAGAATGGTCCTACTCATCAATAAATATGGATTGTAGTTTTTCTTTCTGTGATTAAGAGTGGAAGTTGCAGAAGAACTGGACTGCTATTTTTGTTGTTAGGTGTCTGGTAGTTGTCTCAGTTTTCTGTTTGGGATCACGAAGCTCGATAAATATGCTTGAGTAGAAAAAGGTTCCTTGTATTCATTGCATGTTTATTTTGACTTAGAAAATGTATTATAGCTATATTTTCCCCTGAAACTTGTAAAATTGGAGAGTATTAATTTCTAAGTAGATAGTCAGATATACTCCCTCACATTGGGTGCCATCATCTTTCGTGTCTTTTGCAGTGCTTGTGTTACAGTAAATATTTCTGTCAGAAGCAATGGTAAATGTGTGGAGCGTGGGTATGATGTGACTGAGTTACTTCCCAGATTCAGTGCTTTTATGGTGCTTAGGGATAATAAAGAACCTAATCCTACTTAATAGTTGTACCTCATCTGAAATAATGAATTCTTCTAATCATTCAGGAAAAAGAGAAGGAGTTGGAAAGAGAACGAGAAAGGGACAAGAAGGACAAAGAAAAATCTGATTCTAGGTCCAAGGAGAAGAAGGAGAAGGAGGAATGTACACCAACAAGAAAAGAGAGGTATGACTTCCTTTGGATTCAGTTAGCTGGGAGGAAAATCCAGTCCTCACAGTTAGTATCTTTGTTTACAACAACAACCCTGAAATTGTTGCATCACAAAACATCTATTTTTTCCACTTGAGATATGAAGTTTTCAAACATGTGTTAAAGGAATTGGTATTTTTCTCCTCTCCCAAGTGACTTACCTTTTTGAATAGAACCCTCTTTCTGATTATTTAAGCCCTGAGGAAACACCATAACAAAATGACCAACTGAAAGCGATATATATTTAACTCTGATTTATATCAGTAAATTGGCTGCTTTCAGAAAACTGTAATGAATAAATTTGTGAATGCTTAATTATTACTTCTCTTGTGAAATTTCTTCAAAGTAGCAAGGCTAGAGTAATTGATTATATAATGTTCTAAGATTTGTATATCCAGATCTTCTGTAGTAATAAGCATTGTGGTGAAGTGCCTTGCTTTTCAGTAATATGTAACAGAATGTTTTTATGCTGTATAAACAAAAATGAGTCACGGGTCTTATTTTTTTTTCCAAGCAGTTACTTTAGTGTGTCTAATGTTACATGGGCAAAAGAAAGGGAATCAATTTATCAATTTTCTTCATGCAAATTTTTACTTCTGTGTGTGTGTGTAATATATAACAAACATGCTTTCTTTTCAAAGGAAAAGACGGCACAGTGCTTCCCCTAGCCCATCTCGCAGCAGTGGCAGTAGAAGAGCAAAATCTCCATCACCAAAATCGGAGCGCTCAGAGCGCTCTGAACGGTCCCACAAAGAGAGTTCACGTTCTCGGTCATCACATAAAGACTCTCCAAGAGATGTCAGTAAAAAAGGCAAAAGGTAAGCTGGCATTTGTTCTGTTTCAATCTGTATGAAAGCTAGATACATAGATCTTAGGATTTTAATCGAAGCACACTGAAAAAAACACACTTTTTTTCTCCTAATGGAATAAATACACTGCTATTTGCTGGTTAATGTCTTTGGATGCTTCATGTCTGAAATGTGTGCGTCCTTCAGCCTTGATATCTCAAGACTGTTCACTTCTGTGTTCTTGTTTACCTGCTTACTGATGAATATTACTTAAAATCAACCTGCTTCTTCATCAGCTTTTCCTTTTCATAGGGCAGTCTTGTGTAGGCCATAGAATTGTAGTTCTTACAGTGTGCATTCTATGTTTCACTGATGATTCTGTACATGAAGCTCCTCTCTCACATTTTTTTTCTATGAATAAAATTGCAGTTGGATATGTGTCATGAGTTATTGTTTATAAGAGTATATATTGCCTGATTTCCATTCTGGTACAAATATTAGCCACTGGCTAATGTTAAGGCTACAGTGAGATCTTATTATTGGTGCTTTTGTTGCTTTAAGTATTTTGGTTGTTGTTTCTGTCTTAATTCAGCCACATTTTTTAGAGCTCTAGAGTATCTTATTGCACAAACATGCTGAGGAGAAATTCCTGTGATGCTCTTGAGAAAAATTGTAGAGCATTTTTACACTAATCTGATTCTTTTCTTAGAAGTAAGGAATTCAATTAGAATTAGAAAGGTATTTGAGATTTATTTTTCATTAGAGTTAATATGATGGCAGTTCAATTTAGATAATATGAGATTAATATATGAGGTTATATGGAATGCATTACTGAGGCATGGATTACACGATGGTGTCCATTCTGCTTCTCTCGGGTTACAACACGAGCTGAACAGAAATCAGAAGGATTTCAGCGTAACACAGTTCAAGATAATCTTTCACTTCTGAGATCATCCACGTGGATATAGACTGCTAGAAGCACAAGAGCCAGGGTTATTAAGGCATTTCTGGAAGGCTGTAAATTCCATATTTTGATTTAAGGAGGACATGATTTGATGTCATTTATTCTTCTGACATGATTTGATGTCATTTATTCTTCTGGTTTCTGAGTAGAGAAAGCCAAAATACATCTAAAACATTAAAATGCAGAAATTACCTTTTCTTTTAAAAACAAGATACAGTTATCTTACTTCCCTTCAACATAGGAAACAGATTGTACTTAGATGATCTCAAAACAGAAATGCCAAGTAACTGTAGAAAAAGTTGATGTTGCCAGTTAGCATTTAACATAAAAACTTCATCTTGTAAGATTTTCATTTTTATTTTTTTGCAGGTCACCATCTGGTTCCAGGACACCCAAAAGATCAAGAAGATCACGGTCAAGGTCCCCTAAAAAGTCAGGGAAAAAATCCAGGTCTCAGTCCCGTTCTCCTCACAGATCTCACAAGAAGTCAAAGAAAAGCAAACACTGACAATGTTGATATTTTTTATGATGCTGTCACTTACTGGAAATGCAGTTTTGTTTTTGTGCCTGAACAGTCTGTTTAAAAAAAAAAAAAAAGAAAAGAAAAAAAAACAAGGAAAGAAAAGGAAAAAAAAACAACAAAAAAGCATTCCTGATTTTTTTTTTTTGTGAATGCACGTGTATACTCATGAGTATCTGCATCTGTAGACCCGTCATTGTTTTATATTGTACAAAATATCTTCCTTGTGACTATTTCCCAAATGAAACATTTTTGTGTTTAGAAGTTTCATCAGATGTGTGTAACTGATCTGCTGGCAGTAGTGATATTTTGTTTTAGAATGTTGTGACATAGCAGAAATAACTCCAATGTTCCCCCTTTTTTGTAGCTTTGACAATTTGAATTAGATTTCAAATAAAATCTGAACAGAAAATGAAGACGTTGTTTTCTTGCCCCACTGGGGATGCAGATTTATTTTAATGAAATTCATAGTTTGTTTGGAAGTACTGTGCATTTCAGGCATACTATGGTGCATAGGTTTTCAGTATAGTAATAGCTGTTCCTGTTTCCTCTACTTGACTATCCGGATAAAAGCACCTTTTGAATCCAGTGGTTGGATTCTCCTTTCTGCCATGATATTTTACTATAAGAGCAGTTGAGCAGTCTGGTCCCAAACATGAGCAGCTTTGCAAGTAGATCTTTGCTTGGTATTTTGCTGTTTTAATCCCAGGCAGTATTTTTTAAAGCAGGGCAATATGGTTGTTCATTTTTTTTATTTAAAAAAAAAAGTACTGCAGAGATGTATCACGTGTATGTATATCATATAATATGATATATCAGCAAGTTACATTTTCGGCATTAATGGGGATCAATAGAAGGATAGCAAAACTTATGCTCTGACCTGTTCCTGTAGAATAGGTACAGTAATATCAGCTTGCAGTTAAAAATGAAAAATGATTTTTACTCTGGAAGTACTTTTTTTTTTTTTTACATTGTTTTCATGGAATTTATTCTTCTGTCAGAAATTCTTCAAAATAAGAAAAAAGTCCAAGCAAGTATTTTTAATTACGTAGTTTTGTATTTTTGGAATCGAGAGGCTGTCTAACTTTTGAATGATAGGCTTTCCCCTCTTCAAACCTGTTCAGCATTAGGCCATCTTGTTTTCAGACTGTTTCACCTTGATCTCTCTCGTGCAGCCTTTGAGGGGGGGAAGGGATGTGGGAATGGGATGGACAGGAGAGGGGGAGGGTTCCATGTTTATACTTGATGGTATGGGCAGATTGTAATAAAAACATGATAAAGGGATGTGGCCTCCTGTGAACTGTTTCTAAAAGTAAACAGCTGCACTTAATACAGGCACAGAGTGTTGGATGATGCCTGCTATTGTATCTCTGGATTTGGAGGTTTTATGTTTATTAGAATTTTGTAAATGTGATGGGGAAAATATTTTTTGTGTATATATGTAGCCTTGGAGGCAGCGCTTCCAGAAACAGGATCTAGAAAATCTTCTGAAAAACGTACAAATTGCATTTAGAATATGTATTTTCTCCATTTGTTTTTGTCCTCCTGGGGGGCTTGGTTACAGGATTATATAGATTATTTTAAATGTAAGAACCAAGTGAAAAATAACTGAAAACTTTGCTAATGAGAACTGAGAGATGATCTGTAATACTGGAAGCATGGAGAATGCATGTGTACTGTAAAGGTTTTCTTACAAGGAGTGTTGGACGGATGCCTAAATAATGAGAAGAATGCAGCTTCTTATGTTACATTATGAAAAATTTGTTTTAGAAATAGGCAGCTTATTTTTCTTGCATTTTTCTTTCTGTAGCACAGCATTTCAGATGTACAGGTTCTGGCAGCCGAACTATTGTGAACTAAGGTTTTTTTTCCTCTAAAATACATTCTCTTCAGAGCTAGCACAGAGTGGATCAAATTTTCTAGAGCAAAAAACAAGTACTAAAGTCAAGTTAATTTCAGATCTGATTGACTTCTTTAAAGCTATTGTTTTCATCTTGGAGCTGCTTGTAAATGGAGAGGTGATAAATGGCAACGTGCTGAGGGTAGAAAATCACTCAGTGTATAGGCTTCAAAAATTAGTTTTGATTTCAGCTTTTGCAGTGTTTTCATCAGTGATTATAAGAGATGCAAACCGAGGCACTGCAGAGCTACAGGAGCACACCTGTTAGACTATTTTGTATCAGCTTTATTATACCTTTTATCAGTATCTGTTGTCGTCTAAATGCTGTCTGTATGACCATTTATTACCTCTTGCTCTTTGCTTCATATCCCTGACTTTAGAAAAGCTGTTTTCTTACTCAGAGCAATTAAGAATCTGAATACGTGGTTGTTGGTTTTTTTTGCTGGCTTTTAGTTTAGTTCCTACCCCCTCACTCCCCTGGTTGAACACCTTTTGGTCCTATCTACTCTTCATTTTCTTCTATGGTCTCATAAGTAGCTTTGTTCATACCTTGACTTTTCTGCAAAGAGAAGGGGGAAGCAGCACACCATGCTGTGTCTAGGGGTGAAAAAGCCTCTGTTTTACATAGGGTGGACATCTTTTAGTTTTGATCTCGGATTCAGAAAGTGGGTTTGACATGAAGCCTTGTGGAAAAGCTCTAACCCAAGGTGATGTGATCCAGTGTTTTGAAATGCTATTTCTGATTGTACATGGGGACAGCCCATTATCTTTTAACACTCCATATTCAGTGAGTATCCAACCCTTGGCTTTGGGAGGGAGAGGAGCCATGAGTGGATAAGGGATTTTTTGTTTTCTCCCACCCCTGGTACCAAAGAGAAATGTTCATGCTTGGGTGATGAGGTTTCTCGAAAGCAAGGAAACCAATGCAGCTTGCTGCCGCTGAGTTGTGGTATGGCTGAGCAGTGCCCTGCAGCCTGAAATACCAGCTCTTTGGGCTCATCTCAGCATGGGACTGGGGCTCTGGGGGGGTGGGCTCACCTTATAAACTGAATATATGTTAGTCCCAGGTAGGGACTAGCGGCTGTCCTGATGACAAACTTAGATGAAGCCTACCTGGTGCTTGAGATGACATTGAATATTATGGGGCATTTTGGTATTTGTGCAAACATCTTCTAGGCATAGAGCTGCAATTCATTTTTTTTTTTTTTAATTCTGAACCAGTCCTCTCTTGTGTGAACCTTTGTAAGAATTGCACCCACACTTGGAGTGGTGGAAAAAATCTGCTTGGCTGTGTACAGTCTCCTCCTGGTTCACATGCTTTCCGTATCGGTATACAGAAGCGTTCACAATTAGCTTCTTTTGAAACCCTGTGACTTCCTTTGACTCCTCTGCACAGCAGCTGCATATACACTTTGCAATACAGTTCTTGAGGAAGAGCTGATTTCTGAAAGTTGAGGTTCGTATGTAGGCACTGGATGCTGTGCAAGTGTTTTGCTTCCCCGTTGGAGGCTCTGAAGTGTGAGAATAAAGCATTTGTCACCAAGGCTAACAATGTTTTCCAGAGCATGCATTTAGAACTGTAACTACCTGAATACTTGATTAGTGCATCAGTCCCAGTGAAAAAAAAGCAGTAATTTGAAGAGGTTACGCCCAAACTCGATCCTGATCGATTTTATTATTTTTTAGTTCTTGGAAGAAACCAAACGCTCAAAATGCTCTTCTCTCCCCCTGCCTTAAGCTGTGAGGATACATATTGGGATATGCATATCCTCTTCTCTATTGCATGTACTTCTTAAAAAATAGTTTGTTTCTATGAAGAAAGACTTGAGCTGCCTTAAAGACATGTACTGGTAGTTGATTCCAGGCCCCAGCACTGAGATAGTTTTCAATTTGTAAGGTTTTATTCAAAGCGTTTTCAAGGCGGAAGCTGGAACTGTGAAAATTGTACTGGTACTCTAATTTGGCATGAATAATACTTGAGATTTCTAAGCATGGAGTGCTCAAAGCTTCTTAGGAGTCAACCCCTGCTTGAGGTGTGTTCTTTTCATATTAAAAACTTCTCAAGTCTCTGAACTGTAAACAAGGAAAAAAAAAATAGAATCTTGTGATACGAAAAGCAAAATCAACCAAAAATGGCAATACATTTTGATCATCTTTCATCTTTTTTTTCTTTGACCACATACATTTACAGACCTTTGGAATTTGTGCTTCTAACAGATACGAATTTGAAGAACTTGTACTACTGCACATGGAGTGAGGTCTGAATTTTGTGTCTTTGCTAGATTGCTGGTTTGCTGACCTTGGGCACAGCCTCTTGAGGGATTTGGGGCAAGGTTTTGTTCAACTATTTTGTGTCTGTGCTGCACAATTACACAAGAACTCAAATACTCGGGTGCATTAAGGTAAAAGCTTTTGATGAATATTTGAATCACTGCCTTCTTAACCTAACCTGATCTCTTTCCATATATTCCTTTGTGAAAGGCTTCTAGATGTTGGGGTTAGTTACGGAGGTCCAATAAGAGAAATGAATTCTCTACAGCTGAAGACAGTGACTGTGGAGTAGTCTGTATGAGAATTTCATGGTTCACTTTTTCTAAAATCAACTGGTTAGTAATGTGAGATTTGACGAGTTACAGATCTGACACCTGCACTCAAACCTAGGAAATAGTTTAATAAGGACGTTAAGTTCCTAAAACTGTTTTATTCAAACAGAGTAATACTTGGAAATGTCATCTTGTCATTACTGCGTGAGATACTGCAAGACGTTCAGTGTGCCACCTGTTCATGCTGCTGTAACTGCTGCTATCTAGTATTAAAGCCACTCTTGTGAGAATCGTAACTCAAATATTAATTAATTTTGTCCACGTGTATTTTCCTTGTGTAGAATGCAGAAATCTTAAATATATATTGCATAAATTTTTTCCTCCACTCGCTTCTGTCAGCACAGTCAGTTTTCACGGGTAAGCTGGTTCCATTTGTCACTCTGATGTCTAACCTTGTGCAGGGATGTCTTACTGTGTGACTGTCATAAGCTGGAAAGTTTTCTGTTCGTGGTTACCTAAAGAGGAAACGGTAGTTTCACATGAACTTTTTTGTCTTATTTTGTTTGTATTCTATGCAGAAAATTTCCCAAATGACGCAGTGACAATAAAATTGTCAGTTTGCCAATATCCAGTAATGGTTTTATTTTTAACCTGCTAAAATGCATGTGCATATGTGTTCTGCAAACAACGGTTTCTTACTTTTGCCAGCTCATCTGGTGGCCGACTCTGATCATTCCCGCGTTGTCCAGTAATGCTGCTGCTGTGCTCCTGCTGTTAGCAGTGACCTTGTTTCTTAGAAACCCACTAACAAGGCTTGTGCTGTTCACTGGGGTTGCTCCTATAATCCTCTCTTGAACAAAGAATCTCCCGCTTGGAGGAACTGCTTAGATATTAAGGTGATGAGCAGCTCTTCAACCCCTGAAATTGTTTGCAGGAACTTCAAGTGAAGGAAGTGAGGCCTGTGTAGTGCTGTATGAGGGTGTGAGTTACAGCTGAGCCAGTCACGGCCTTTTGCTGCTGCTGTGCGCTGCAGGTCCTGTTCCTGCCTCTCCATGCCTCCTGCTCTGATGCTTGTCTGTCTTTTCTGCCCCATAAGTAACCAATTCATTAAGAGAAAAAGCTTTTTCTTAAGTTTTTCATGCAATTGACTTCCTGCTGGCTTGGTGGGTTAAAGTGACTCAGTGCAGGAATCAGATGGTGGGCAGGGTGCTCCTCATTCTTGACAATGGGTCCCTTGTTAACAATTAACTTCAGACGATGATCTGGATTATTCGTGTTGAAAAGATGGTCTGAGTGAATGCTGTACTCTGCATCCCACTTGTTCAACTACTTGAAGACCTACAGGATCCTGCTGCACCTGGAGAAGGGTAGCCTGGCAAAGCAAGCCGAATGGGTGCATGCATTGCTTCAGTAGGCTGAGCTGAGTCTCTGTGGAAAGACAGTGTGAGCACAGGGGTGGGCAGTGTATGTGCCGTGAAGCATCCAGGAGGGGGAAAAGTGGAAGCAGGGCCATCTCTCTGCAGTGAACTGTGGGCTCTGCCTCTCTCTACTCCCTTCTTTTCCTGTAAGTTTGTGCCCATCATCTCTGAGAGGTGCAAACAGCTCTGAGGCCATTTAGTTCCTGCAACGTCTGCCAAAGACAGGAAAGGAGGAAGAGAGTTCATGTGGCCCCGCATGATGGGAAGGGCTGGAATACGAATGATCTCTTGTTGATGTTAGAGCCCAGAGTAATCACTTGGGAGGGATCATATGAATGTTCCAGTTATTAAGTCTTCACTTAAAGCTTACAGGCAAGAAACACGGTATGTTGCAACACTGCTGGAACTACTTTCTCAGTTTTTGCTGTTGTGTGGCCTGGAAAACTTCCATTAGCTGCTTGCCTAAAGACAGACCGCCAGCTGTACTCTTCATGCCCTTGTCTGTAAGGGGTCAGCTGCAAGCAAGTGTGGAACCTCCACGTAGCCTGGGGACAGCCCCTGGTATGGGGCTGCCAACCAGAGGGAGAGATGTGCTGACCAGAGATAGAGGGGTGCCTGGGCAATGCATGCCTGGGGTTGGAGAGTGTGATAATGCTAATTAACCATTATCTTTTAACACTCTTTTAACCATTAACTCTGGTTCACGAATTTGGTTGTGAAAGGGTTGGGATACCCTAATGTGGGTGTGGGAGAGAGCAGAGCATTGGTGCAGTGCAGCTAAGTTGGCTCTTGGATGCGCCATGCCAAAGGGTTTGAGGTTTTTGATGTGAAACTGTGCAGTGATGTTGTGTAAGGTATGCGGTTATAAGACTAGAATCTCTTAATTTCCTTTGTAATGTAGAACAGTTACAGAACAGCTGAGAAAGGGTTTTTAATTTTAATAAAAGTCAAGTGAAGACTTAACTGCGCTGTAATGTCCTCAGGACACTCATAAAATTCTAGGATTCCTTCAGCTGCGCAAACAGGAATTTATAAATATTTATTGAAATTAACTTTATTGAAAATGTCACCTGTGTAAGTGGAGGTAAATATAGTGGAGAAATGTGGGGGCAGGGCACAGCTTGCTCCAGATGGGCTCTCCAGTTGGCCCTCTATTTCTGTTTATGACTTGAACAACACCTGCTTTAATTTTAGCCCACATCAGCACCTTCTGCAGCACCGCTTTTGCACACGCTGCTCAGAAGGAACATCTGAAGAGCAAACCAGCACTGTAGAGGCCGACTGCAGCTCTATCAGTTAATGGGATGGCTGTTGAAGCACTGTTGGAAATGGGTGCGTTCTGTGGCGCAGCACTGCTGCATGAAATAGCACGGGCTGTAGGAAGCTGAGCACGGTGCTGAAAGGGAGGGTGCAAAATATGAACGTTTGTCGCTTTAAAGACTGCTGGGCAGTCTTCTCTCACCCATCTGGCGATGCGAAAATAGTCTTAAACAAATTGGTAGATGTTCCAGTTTGGGCAGCCTCTCTGTTTTTACATAGCTTTCGTTCACAGTTGGTGGTCTGTATCACTTTGGTTTTAAGAACCTCACTTCGGGGCAGCATTTGAGGAATTTGGCATTAACGTTCCTCTCAAATGGATCGGGTTAGATATGGGAGTTTTAAATTAATGCCCAGGACTTGCATTCTAGATATATAACAGCACAAGCCTCTGTTTTTCATCCCAAATTAACCAGCCTTAACAGATCACATCTTGCTGAAACTTCACCTCACAAAGGTATCTCCTCCACCTCACCCCCTGAACACAGCAAGGTCCCGAAGCATCAGAAGTCACACCCAGATCCAGTGCTGCAGCACGGTGCTTGGTCAGCTTCATCCCAGCACAATGGTGGGCAGAGCTCAGAGACCTCTCTCATGAATGGGGGTGACAAACATCCAGCTTTTAGATCAGCGTTTTCTAAATATGACATATAAAAAGCCTAAATATAATCGCCAAGTATAAAATATTGAAGTGGAGCATAAAATATTTAAGCATTAAATACAAAAAATGTTTTTCTCTTGTAGCTTGAATAAGGAATTTTACTCATGGTTACCCAACTCGCTACAGTGTGAGATAAGTGCAGCTGACTTATTTATAGCTGAAGGATGAGGGGATTTTGCAGAGTGAATCTGTGCAGGATGAAGGATGTGCTGTAGTTACACCATCCCTCTGCACACCATTACAGTGTACCTGCATGGCGAGAGGGGTGGGGTTTGGCTCCACCAAAGCAAGCAAGATGCAGTGTTTAAAGGTGAAATTGACCTAGAAATAAGGTTATGGGGAACAAATAAGATTTAAGGGAAAGAGACATGTGGACAGTTTTGAAAAAACAAATTTGGTGTGAATTGAAAGGAGGCCATAGAAATCTGTTACGTATGTATATATATGTATATAAGTTAATGTGTGTGTGTATGTATATATATATATATATGCATATATATATATATATATAAAAGCGTAATGAATATTCACTGATGCTGAGTGTCTTACACATGGTGACCAAGTCTGAAACTTGCTCCAAGAGGGCTGAACGCTGCAGCTGCACCAAACCTGGCTGCGTGAGTCCACCTGCACGGGAAAAAATACATTCTGAAAAATACAGCTCCATTGTGCAGCACGTGGGTTAGCTTACAGAGCTGCTATGGAGCCAGGGTTTCCTGAGCAGGAGTGGAACAGTGCTCCTGACAGCACTCGAGGCACAGACAGCAGAAACCCCGTTACAGCTTCTAATGTCTAGATCAGTGCATTCCAGAGCTAAAAATGAATGCTTTTGCTTCAGGGGATGGAGGCTGCCTCACCTTCACCAGGGGTTACCACCATGGGAGCAGGAGATCCTTAACTTCATAGAAGGGTTACAAGCAGAGGCTGTTCTTGCATGCAGAGAACTCAAAGTTTGGGTCTAAAGAATAAAATAATTGCAAATTTCCAAGTGCAGCCTATTTCAGAGGTGCACCCTGTGCATTACGTACTGTGTCAGTGGCCGCAGGTCAGTCATTATAAGCTCATCAGGAGTAAGCTTGCAATTTATTTTGCCAACCAGATTTGCTTCATCTGTGCAGTGTGGCTTTAAGTGTTCCCTCTGCTGTAGGTTTTAAAAATAAAAAGCTTCCCTTCTCCCTTGCCTTTTGATGAACTGGTGGCTTCTCTCCAATACCAAGGGTTGTGTGTACAGCTCTCTGCCTGCAGCGCTGTGTGGGGGCACATCTGTGTGCTCAGAGAACTGGAGGGGACAAAACATCCCAGCAAGGCCGGGTCAGCAGGAGCAGTCACACACGTCGTTCAGAACCGAAGGAGGATACGTGTTCCTGAAGCAGCGGGGGCAGAAGTCAAGTGGGGTCTTTTGCTTTTGGGAAAGTTGGAGAGGAAAAGGAGGAGGTGTGGGTTCCGGCAGCTGTTACAATAACAAGCATAGGAAACGGAGTAGAGGGCCTTCCATACCAGTCTTTATCCGTCACCCACTCCGGAGATGTACCTCCTGTACCGTACAGCAGCCGCAGCCTGCTCCGCTCGGAGCGGGGTTCTGACTACGCGCAGGGCAGAGGCAGAGCCCCCCGCGCTCCCTCTCAGCCTTTCCTTCCCGCTCCTTCCCCCGCCCCGCGGCGCTTGGAGCAAACTTCGGGGTCGCCGCTTTCCGTGCAGCCGGGTCCGGCGGCGCCGCCCCGGAGCCGCAGACGGGAGCCCGTGGACGGGTACGGCCGGCGCCGCGAGTCCCGGGCGGTGCCGAAGCGGTGCGGGGCCGCGGACCGGCGGGGACAAAGCCGAGGGAGCGCCGCAGCGGCGCGCAGCTCAGCCCGCAGCCCGATCCGCACGGTGCGGGCCGGGGCACTGCGGCGGCCGCGGCCAATGGGGACGCGGGGCGGAGCGCCGCCATTCCGGGCCGCACCTCCGCGGCCGCTCGGCGGCGCGGCGGCGGCCGGGGCTCCCCCCGCTCGGGGCGGGGACGGGATGCGCCGCGATGCGGTGCGATGCGCTGCGCGGTCCCCGCCCGTCCGCCGCGCCGCGGGGCGGAGCGGAGCGCGGTGTCGCCTCGCCCCGGCGGCCGCGGCCGCGCGGCGATGGCGGCGCGGAATAAGCGCGGGCGGCCGCGCGGCTGCCGCTAAGTAGGGCAGCGCGGGGCGGGGGCGGCGGAGGGGCCGTCGCGGCGGCTGCGCCATGCGGGCCGGGAGCGGGGGGCCGGCCGGGAGACGGCGCCGGGGGCGGTGCGCCCTGCTGCCCGCCGCGGGCCCCGGGGCGCCGGGGCGCTGAGCAACAGTTGGCCCCGCCGCCGCCGCCGCCCAGCATGAAAGTGTGCCGGCGGAAAGCGCTGGCGCTTTGCCTGGGCTACGCGCTCCTGCTGCTCCTCGCCGCCCTCAACCTGCTGGAGTACAAGTGGCGGCGGGAGCCGCGGCGCTGCGGGGAGCCCCCGGCCGTCCCCCGACAGCGGCCCCCTCCGCCGCCGGCCGGGAGCAGCGCTCCGCCGAGCGGGCGGCGGCAGCTGGTGTACGTGTTCACCACCTGGCGCTCCGGGTCGTCCTTCTTCGGGGAGCTCTTCAACCAGAACCCCGAGGTGTTCTTTCTCTACGAGCCCGTGTGGCACGTCTGGCAGAAGCTGTACCCCGGGGACGCCGTCTCGCTGCAGGGAGCGGCCCGCGACATGCTGAGCTCCCTGTACCGCTGCGACCTCTCCGTGTTCCAGCTGTACAGCACGGCGGGCGCCGGGAAGAACCTGACGACGCTGGGCATCTTCGGGGCGGCCACCAACAAGGTGATCTGCTCGTCCCCCCTGTGCCCGGCCTACCGCAAGGAGGTGGTGGGCATGGTGGACGACCGCGTGTGCAAGAAGTGTCCCCCGCAGCGCCTCAGCCGCTTCCAGGAGGAGTGCCACAAGTACCGCACGCTGGTCATCAAGGGCGTGCGCGTCTTCGACCTGGCCGTCCTCGCCCCGCTCATGCGGGACCCCACCCTGGACCTCAAAGTCATCCACCTGGTGCGGGACCCGCGGGCGGTCGCCAGCTCCCGCATCAAATCCCGACACGGCCTCATCCGGGAGAGCCTGCAGGTGGTGAGGAGCCGCGACCCCCGCATCCACCGCATGCCCTTCCTCGACGCCGGCCACAAGCTGGGCGGGAAGAAGGATGGCGGGGGCGGCTCGGACTACCACGCCCTGGGTGCCATGGAGGTCATCTGTAGCAGTATGGCCAAGACCCTGCAGACCGCCCTGCACCCCCCCGACTGGCTGCGGGGTAACTACATGGCCGTGCGCTACGAGGACCTGGTGATGGAGCCCATCAAGACCCTGCGGCAGGTCTACGGCTTCGTTAACCTGGCGGTCAGCCCGGAGATGGAGAAGTTCACCCTCAACATGACCAGCGGCCCCGGCTATTCCTCCAAACCCTTTGTGGTATCGGCCCGGAATGCCACGCAGGCGCTGAGCGCCTGGAGGACTGCGCTCAGCTTCCAGCAGATCAAGCAGGTGGAGGAGTACTGCCAGCAGCCCATGGCCCTGCTGGGCTACGAGCGGGTCGGCAGCCCCGAAGAAGTGAAGGACTTAAGCAGAACGTTGCTCAGGAAGCCGCGGCTGTGAGCGGGCAGCGCCGTGTGGCCGAGCTCCTCTGGCCTGGTGGGAGAGTGGGGGTCAGGAGAGGGTTCTGGGTTCCTCCAAAGACTGCTGAAGGGTAACATGCAGTAGTAATGTGATGATTTCTGGTTGTTTTTTTTTTTTTTTTTTTTTCTTTCTTTCTTTCTTTCTTTTTTTTTTCCTTCACTTGCATTGGGTTAGATGCAACTTAAAACAGAAAATAAAGTGGAACTGAAAATGTGTGGAGGCTCCTTTTCCCCTTCTCTAAAATGCTGGGGGAGCCTCCCCTACCAAAACCTTATTTATGGAGTTCGTGTGGGCTGGAAGGTGGTAGCAAAAACTCCGGCACAATTTCTTGTCCATTTATGTCTCCCTGGGTGAAGAGGAGATGCCCTTGGGAAGCGATGCTGAAAATCAGGCTTTTGTATGGAAGTAAGTGTTAAGACATGAGAGTAACAAACAATAAATGATATTCATTTTTATAATTACCTCAATTGTTTGGGAATTACAGTGATGCTGATGTACAGCTAGAGGGGAGGCTTGCTTGGAATAGCACCGAGGGCTTTTTTTAAGGTTACGGGCAGAGGGCTGGAGTGTAACGTTGACGTGTCTGAAGATCAGAAGCTGTTCGTGCACAAACAGGGATGGACTCACAGATGCTGTGCGGGTTCTGTAGCTGTGTCAGAGCAGGCTTCTATTTAACAACTGTCTTTTGTTGTTGTATTTAAAAAGTCTTTAAGTGCCACTGTATTAGCGTCCTAAGAGTTCTGAAGTGTTTGCCACCAGAGCAGTATTTATTTTTGTCTTGATATGTATGCCTGGGAGTCACCGTCAAACAGAAGTGTGACAAAACTGCAGGATTTAAAAAGACATTTATCATACTGGCAACATTAGCATGTGTGAAAACAATTAAAGTTATATATATTATATAGTGCTAACAATGCAGTGAGATATTTAAGATATTTCTTGACGTTCTTTGGTAACAGGCGTAGCAGGGAAGCGTAGAAAAATGCATAAAATGTTGTATTTTCCCCCTTGTTTGAGTGTCTGAGGGTGTGTTTCTGTTCTGAGGAGGGACAACGCGTGCAGCTGTGTGTTCATGGCTGTAACGGAGCTGTGTGGAGCCACCCGAGTGCCTGCATTCAGAGTGCTGCTCGCTTGTGTGAGTTGTCATTGCTCCGCGATGGAGCCAGATGGTGGTCTGGCTCTGTCTGGGAGCTCTGCTGAGAGAGACTGTCCTGTTGTTAAACTTGATGAAAAATATGGGGTTTTGCTACTACTTTTATAATTTCCTGAAAAAGTCCTGGTTTAATAAAGATCATGTGATGGTTGCACATGGAAAGTGTGGTCACCTCGAGTACATTTCATCTTGGTGGTGGGTCTCTGATGCTCTTTGAAGGCTCATTTTGGAACTTGGGTTTTTAAACAAAAGTGGTTTTGCCAGACTATTCTCATAGGAGCCCGTAGGCTTTTCTACAGAAAGTGTTTCACATTGTCTGTGTGTTGTGCTTTCTGTGAATGTGAGTATGGGTAGGGAAAGCAAAATGAAAATTAATTTATACAGATAGGATGCAATAAGTGTGTGTGTGTGCAATTGTTACTGATGTGTAAAGTGTCTGTTTCCTGTATTTGCCTTTAAGTTAAACAGATGATAGCTGGCTGCTGTGCTGTTTGAATTCTTGATGAAATTCTGGGATTAGCTCTTAAACTTGCTCTGAAGAGGAAATAGACATCTAATAAACTAGTAAGAAGATCATAGCATAAGATTGCCTATACCCTTGCTGAATGACCAATTCACATGCTCATTCCCTTAGTTCATCACTGTCAGCCTAAACACATTAGTGGTAAGGGTCACTGGGAAATGTTATAATTGGCCTGTTAGGACATATTCCCAAATTGCAGATGGAAGCGTTAAAAGTGGAAGGGATAGTTAATTTGGTATTTGAAATACAGGCTAAGGTGCAGTGTCCTTCTGTGGAATGTGGTGCTTTGTGTTACTACTGTATGTGTTTGCTTCGATGCCGAGTGGATTTCAGACTGACTGGATTTGGGCTGTAGCCTGCTTTTTTTTCCCAGTCGGTGTGCCCTGAGACAGTGCTTGAAAATCCCATCTGCTAATAGAGCACGTCACTTGCTTTTTGTCTGTCTGCTGCTGCATGAACTGCCCATGCTTTTCGTGGCAGCAGCCACGCAGCACTCCCAGCTCTGCTGCCAGCAGCGCCCGGGGAGGCTGCAGTGCCTCTGCAGAGCCGTGTGCTCCCGCAGGGACAGGGAGCCCAGCTTCTGCTGGAGTGGTTGCTGTGTCTGTGGCATCAGAGCTGCTGTCTGGAGTGTGAAGCTTTGATGCAGTTTCTAAGTGGGGCTTTCACACAGCAGCACTGTCAGCATAAGCTCTTTTATTTTGGGTTCGTGTGTGTGTGCAGAATTCCTTGCTCTCCTCTGCAAAAGTTTTGTGGTTGAGTGATCAGGAATCGACTTTTGGAGTATGGAATAGATAATCCTGATGAACTTAGCTTTTAGAAGTCTCTTTTTAATATTAAAAAGTGCTTTCTGTCATTCTGAGAGAGTGCTGGCTGTGCTTCTCACACTGTACTAGAAGCATCTGCTTCACTTCGATGATACGAACGGTGTGTCAGTAGAGTTATGCCATCTGAATCTGGTCCATAATTTGAGCTCCACCTACTACACTGCAGCAAGGAATCACCCAGCGCACATTCCAACTATACCTGGGCATGTTTTTATGGATGGATGTAGTAATGCAAAGCTTCTTTTGTTGAAATGAAGGACTGCAGTTTAGTTTAGGCAAAGCTTCAGGAGAATTGAGTGGGACTCTGCCTTTGTACAGTGCTGCTGGGCTGAGCCCTGCCCTGTATGCTGCTCTATTGAATAAGTATTAACAACTGGCAGTTAAAAGAGGCCATTTTTAGTGCTTTTGTATATTCAGAAAAGAGGATTAGAGAAATTAAAAAAAAAAAAAAGTTTTGAATTTAGAAAATGATAGAGGAAAAATAGACTATGTAAAAGATTATGGACATGGTTCCAAAGATCTCTGCCTGTTGTTGGGAAGACATCTAGCAGAGGCTGGAGTACTTAAATAACACTTGACTCTTATGCTTAAAAATAATGCCTGTGCTTGCTTTTGGTTGATTTAATTACAGCGTGCTTCTTAAGCTGGAGATAGTGCTTGTATTAGTGAAGAATCAATAACATAAATGAGATGCTGAGTGCACTAAGTTGCACTGAATTGAGATGGAGACCATTTTTAGGACTTGGCATGTTATTTTGTTAGAACAAAAAGGTCAGCACTTGACTATGTGCTGTTTTCTGCTTTTGACAAATGCAGAAAATTGTAGAAGCATTTTTAATGGTCATGATTGCTACCTGCACAAAAGCACATGAAAACCCTCTGCCCTCCAAGCGCTGAATCAATTTAAAACACAAGATGTGCAGAAGTGTGCAAGTTGCAACTTACTAAATGCTGATAAAGGAAAAAATGGTTGCATGAGGTATCTTTGAGTCTTTCTAACAAAAGGAGGAAGTCCTTGTTCTGACCACTTTGTACATTGTCAGGTGTTTGACTTCACACTGTGAGTGGGAAGAGGAACGGAACTGCCTCAATTTAAAACCACAAACCTTGTTTTTCAGTTACGAATTGAGCTTGGGTCTCCAGAGATGAACTACTGCTGGCTGTAATCAATTCTGAAACAAGTATTTTTCATCCCTTAGGCCACGAGAAGAAGTCTGGTTTAATTCTTTTTCTCTCTTCAATTTTTAATTTATGTAGTGTGTTTTTAAGTGTCTTTGAAAGCAAAGGGGGGTTTCACATGAGCTTCTGCATTCTGCAAGGGATGATCTTAGAGACAGTACTTCAGTTTTACGCCCGTGCTTCCCTCAAAATGCAGACATGAGTCTCTTTGGACCAATGAAAACCAATTGTGTTTTGTGAGGCTGCTTAACGTGAACAGCTGGAACACTGGGCAAATGCTGCCTGCCTTCATCAAATGGATCACAAATGTTCTCACTCCAGTGCCATTTCAATCAAAGGTGTTATACCAAGAGAAATATTACTCTGCCGGAATCATGTGTGTGAATAGAACAAGCAGATTTAATATGAAAGCTGTAAGCAATCGTGAGACTGCCTGCTCTTGTTATGTCCATCTCTGATAGTGCTCTGGTAATTGCCCTGACGGTCATTGGATGTAGTTCGCATTTGTATCAGAGTTTCTCAGAAAGATCTACTGAAAATGTGGGCATGACTGTTATAAAGTCAAAAACACATGTGGTATTTCAGCAATATTAATACGTACATGTACAGGAAAAAAAATGGTTTACCTTCTGTCTTTGTGTTTGCTGGTATCAAATGAGTTATTAACATGTTCCAATAAGAGCTATTGGCTGTCAGGATTTCCATGATTCTTCACATAAATTATCAGCTCTGCAAAGAAAATGCATAGAGCCTCTAAAATACAGACTTGTAACTTTGCAAGTTGGAAAGCTTCCATGTGTTTATTTTTTTGGAGAGGCAGTTGCAGCTCTTCACACCTGTGCATCAGGAGATCAGGAAAGGATCACAAGAATATATCTGCATAACTGAGTGTTTAACATATGGATCAATGCAAAAATATTGTCAATGTGAAATATTAAGGTGCTCTGTCTTCCCTTGATGGATGAAGAGCCAGCATCCACAATACCACAAAAAGTATGAAAATAGTTTATAAATGGGTTTACAAATGGGAGAATTAGGACTGCAGAGTCATCTACTTACGCAGTGGAACACAAAACTTGTAAAATGCATGTAAAGATATATGTAGCACAAGGAGGGACTTCCCCAATCCACTGATGCAAGTGAGATTTTGGCACCTGCTTCATTGTCTACCGTAAGAATATTCTTATTATGAGCGAGGTGGTGGGATGGGAATTGAGGTTGAGCAGTGGATTACCATCTCTTTGTTCCTATCATAAAAGTTGGTAAGTAGCCAGGACAGCCTGAGGGTACCACAGGCTGAATATAATAGCATTATTCCAAGGAGTTTTGAATGAAAATGGGTCTTTCTTGCTGGAAAAAAAGATAAAGATCTGATTGGAGGAACTCTCCAAATGAGAAATTATTAATAAAGCACTCTGAGTAAGGCAGGCTGGTAGCTGCTGCTGAGCAAACTTTTTCTAATGACAT